ATAAAGTGGCTTCCAAAGAAAATGGAATCTTCCTGAGCCATGTGTGGGACGTTATTTTACACCCTCTATCAAAGGACATCTATACAAAAATGTGTTAAAAGTAAGAGAACATTAAAAACAAGAGAACAGAAAAAAAGAGGGGAAGCTGGAGCTACAGCATTGGTACACTGCAGCAGTCATTGCTTCCAGAAAAATCACTACCGGAACATTCCTTTCATTTCTCACGTTAGAGTTTAAAGGAATCTTTATAGCTGTGATTTAAGAATGTTTAAAAAAGTCTTAAAAACATAGTAAGTCTTAGAAATGTTACTGTATTTACCATCACTAAAATAAAGGATTTCTACAATTTGAGCTAATATACAGTATGAACAATTAAATGTTACAGAAATTACAGTAAGTGATGGTTGGATTGCAGTGTGACCTAAAGGTCAGTAAATACTGATTTATAACGCCACTCTATTTTATCATGTAAAATGACTAATCTAGCAATACAACAATTTACAGTGCTCATAATGCCAGAAAGAATTAGACTGTGTACCCTATCACCCTATGTGTACATATTTTTAAGAAAAACTTTTGTTTATTGCATATCCTGGAGCTAATATATACAAGTATACATAATTATTTTCTTTGCTTTTTATAATATGCATAAAAGTGAGTTATACTTTGTACTCAGGTTGATCATTATACTGTTTATACTTTATTAGAGCTCATAGATCCATTTAGTGGCAGATCCAATTACATTTAGCAGGTCTGGAACTAACTAAAACAATGGATTATGACTTAAAATGATGCTTGACTTCAAGCCAATGACTCTGAACAGTGCCTTCAGTGCTGCTGCTATTGATATTACACTTTTCCATTAACAGATTTACAAAGGCATTCTTAAAGTCTCCGACTGTATTTATGGACATACTGTACTTACTATCCCCTGTGTTTTTTAACCTCAAGCAAACAGTGCTCATACAGTACATTAAAAAAATATACTAAATGAATACATTAATTAGCCAAAAGTAACTGAAAAATAAAAATGAAGATGGGAGAAAAGTATCACTCTTCCTAAAGTTAACTTGGGTCCCCAAATCTCGCCATGAGGTTAAAAAATGTCTACGTGCTGTGAAAATCCTAACCCTAACCCTACAGTAGCTGGGGTTTAAACTGAGCTTGTGTGCAATCTGTCTCTGAAGCCCTATATTCGTCAAATTTGAGAATGTTTATCAAATAAAAAAATATGAGCTTAAAACAGTCAAATCCATGCGTAAAAGCTCATGCACATTCATGTTCTTCAATGATGTACCTTCTCGAAGCAACTTTTCATTGAGCTGAAAAATCCTGCTACAGTGGTTTTTAAATGAGCATGCCTTTGAGGCCAGACTAGGGTTAGGGTTACAAGACTTATCCAATTTTGACTTCATTTATACTTCTCTTTCCACTTGAAATGATCAAATTGAGATAATTTAAGCAGTAGAATGCATTTTCTTAACACTTTTATTTATGTATTTTATTGGAACATTTTTGGAATTCCTGTGCTATGGAATACAATATACTGTACAATATGAGAGTATTAGTAATGTCATAGATATGTAACCTAGCTTTATCCACTTATTTGCTGTCACAGATATGTAACTAAGCCTTAAACATTTATATTCACTGTACTTTATATTCAGAATGAAAGTAACTTCAAATTAAAAATTATTTAAATCACAATTTTTTCACATTCTGTCAAAAACAGGGGGTTATTGCGATGTACACTCTGCGAAATAAATCCAGCTATCTCAAAGACTGTGCAAATTAGGAAAATTAAAGTAAAAAACGCCTGTTTTAGAATTGTCTTTTCATAGAAACACTAATTAAGATGAGAAAACATGTTTCATTAACACAGAACATCAGCTTTTGCACAGTCTCTTTCAAGTTTTCCTGACTCAGAGTCTATACAGAGATGGAATCTGCACTTGGGGCAACACAGGAAAATGAGATAATTGATGTTTCCATGGCTCAAACTAAAACAAATTAATTATAATCTTTTTACACTGTGATGTTTGGAAGCAGCATTATACAAGAATGCAGTAGTTTCATGCTGCTTGTAAGATGGATCAAAGAAATCCACAGGGCAGTTTTGAATTTCATTTGACCCTGATTGTTTATCCTTAAGCAAACACAAAAGCTAAACCAATGATTTCATTTCAGCAATAATCCTGATTCACTGATTACCATTTAAATGCACTGTATTTACATATTCTGGTGATGGATGCTAGTTAGTAATTTGTATTTATTTCAGTCTGAATGTATGAGAAATTAAATTTGAACTCACTCCACTTGATCTACATTAAGTCTACTTGCATTATAGTTACCTTTTTCTTAAGTGTTCTAGCCTTTGGTAGTATTGATTTCAAACTTGATGTATTTAGCGTTCCTTTAATCATTATTTAATTTTCTGAAATGTATACTTTGGTATCTTATTTATCATCTGTGTACAGTGCTTTCTAAATGTATTGGGACAGCAAAGTCATAACTGTTATTTCTGATTTACAGTCAAACATGTTGTGTTTGTGATTAGTATGAATAAGTACAATATAATATACATTATATTATATTTTTTGGAAATTGCATGCATATGGGGCTCTTCAAAATCAATTTTGTATGGTACCCTTTGCAACTGTCTGTATTGTCTGTATTGATGATGTGGCTAAATTTATCTGCTTATGTAGAAGAACATTCTTACATACTTATTGGACAGCGCTTCATTCTGCAGCATGTCAGTGACTCAAAGCACACATCCAGTGCAACCAAAGAGTTCATCAAAAAATAAAAGGAAAATCTTAGACCAGCCGAGTCAATCTCCAGATTTAAATTAAACTGAGCATAGATTTCAGAAAACTGAAGAAAAGAAATTAAAATACCTTAAAAACCCAAAGTGGCAGTTTCAAAACAACCAAAATATTTACAGTGTTTGGTGAGTTCATGCAGTTATTGCCTCAAAGGTATATGCAATCAATTACTGACTTTTATGCTCTGAAATGTGCCTGAAGTACTGTATATGAGTCCCAGTACTTCCGGTTACTTGAAATAAATGGGTTGAACACAAAGTATGTTTTTGTGTGATCAAATGAATGCATGGAATAACATAAAAAATAAATTAATATTATGTGTATTATTTATGCTAATCTCATGATCACAAATTCAGATTGCTTGACTATAAAGCAAAAACAGCCAGCAGCTACAGTAACTCACAACTGGCAGCCCACTGAAGTTAACCAGGTGTGAGCCTGGACGATACGTGGATGGGTGAGCTCCTGGGAAAGCTACTGGAAGCTACTGGGAAAGCTACTGTTAGTGAGACCAGTAGGGTGTGCTCATCCTGCGGTCAGTGTGGGTCCTAATACACCAGTGTAGTGATGGGGACCCACTACTGTAAACATGCCGTCCTTCAGATGAGACATAGAATGGAGGTCATGACTCTCCATGGTCATTGAAAATCCCAGGGTGTTTCTTGAAAAGAGTAAGGGTGTTACCCCTGTGTCCTGGTGTTTAAGTCCACCTAATAATCCCAGTTCATGAATTGGCTTCAGCACTCTGTTTTCCTCTCCACTGATACCTGATGTGTGAGGAGTATACTGGTGCACTTCGACTACTGTCACATCATCCAGGTGGGGGTGCACATTGGTGGTGGAGGGGAGTCCCCATTACCTGTAAAATGCTTTGAGTGAAGTGTCCAGAAAAGCGCTATATAAATTTAAGGAATAATTAATTATTATTAAAAATAACAGTTGTAAGTTTTCTCTCTCAATACTGTGGGAGGGCACTGTACGTGTGTATCATCTGCCTTCAGTTAAAACCCGAGAAGCTTTAATTACACTCCAGTCATTGCTTTGCTGCAATCCTATTTCATTATCTAAAACATATGTCATTTAATTTCTCTGTGGTCTTCTCTAATTCTTTGAAAAAATTATGACCTTGGATAAGACAAGCACTATCCATATACAATCCCCTGCCATGTGCACATTCACATCATTATACGAACAGACTGCACACTTTTTGCAATCATTTGAAGCCTAATGTTTGCCACTCAAAATAGATGGTGTCATTTTTCTGTTATTGGGCAGTACAGTAAAATGACAGTTAATGTTGCTGTCTTATAGGTCTTATAGGGCTACTTTGTGGAGTTTGTTATAATATGCAGCATTTTCATGATGGATGGATCACTTTCCTCAGTTTAGAAAATGGTTAAAGCATTCAAAGTATGATACCAGTGAATTGGGCAACTGCTACTGTATAGGAGTGCCAATTTCCAGACTCTTGGCAAGTATGGTTGAAAGAGTGCACTATCCTATCACATGAATGTTCCTGGTATAAGACAGCCATGACAAGAAATACAAGCCTTGACAAGGAACACAAAGGGCTCTGCCCCACAAATTAGTTGCATAGATTTGATCTCTCTTTGTCTATAGAGCACATGTTGACAGATAGAGCTAATTCATAAAGCAGTTTTTTTGGGGATATCATCCAACATTCCACACCATCAGCCATAAAAATATGTCATGTCATGAAACCGTCCTATGGTTAAGGAACATGAGACCATTAAAGTGTTTGAAACTGAATGAGAGAGATTTTTTGGTAGATAACTGATCCAGGGATCTCATTTAACTGATTCTTGAATTAAGCCAGGATATCAGCTTCAACAACATGACTGGGTAGTTGTTTTTTCTGTCCCATATCCCTTTTCATTAAGAAGTGCCTCTTTTTTAAACTACTTCCTCTTAGTTTCTATCTGTGTCCTCTGTTTCATGTTTCACTGTGGATTCAAAGGGCTTTGATTTTGTCAGTGCCTTTGATTTTAATATTTGAATCAGTTCGACTTGTAGTCTTCTCTGTGACTAAAGATATTTAGTTCTTCTGTCTTGTCTTTATAGGATATGATGTGTTGAACTCAGCAATTCCATAATCTGTGCTGTTGTTCTGACATTTAATAACGTCTCATGATGTGTATAATCTGGCTGTAGGTAATGGACTGGATTGAGAATCATGGAGAAGCCTTTCTCAGCAAACACACAGGAGTTGGGAAATCTCTTCACAGAGCACGGGCACTGCAGAAGAGACATGATGATTTTGAAGAAGTTGCTCAGGTAAGAAAAACAATAGAATAAGGTAATGGCTTCCAGTTCATACAGCACTTTAAAAGTCAAACAGAAAAGTGTAACTGCAGATTGAGTAATCTGCATGATTTTAAACTGTTGAATAAAAATGTGTCAGAAGTAGAAAAAGTTAGCAAGTAGCATAACATTCAGGAAACAAATAAAGAAACAGGTGCTTCTCATTCAAGGGGTAGCTGTAAAATCTTCAATGGTTCTGTTACTTAGCATTTCTGTAATAGATTGATAGCAGTAATACTATTACTAGCACAGCTTCTCTGCATAAGGTAAACATAATGAATGCTTTGCGGTGTTAAATGGCTGTAAAGTATTTGATGCAACATTTCATGCAAAACAGTCACCACTTTGCTGGCAGTTCATTTAAGCCTCTATAACAGGAATTTCTGTCTGAAATAGTTTATGTGCTGTTACCAATTGAAAGCATCTGGAATCCAGACGTTCAATTTATTTCAGATGCAAATGCTTCCATTTTGTATGTGTCATTGTCTTTTTATGTTATTATAAACCTAACTTTTGGTTGTGTTTTATTTGATGCATATACCAAAAATACAATTAAGCAGATATGCAGATTATTTTAAAGTCACTTTGTGGTCAGTATTTAAAATTATATGATTGCAGTGAAAGCACCACGACTTTTAATAAAGCTGTTCTCTTTGGTGATCACATTTTAAAACAACTAAAAACCTTCTGTGAAAGCAGCTCATTTTAAAACTATTGCATGTGACTGCATTGTAGTGATAAAATGTTGTATAATTATTGTATTAACATCAAATAAGATCTATTTCAGGACTTATTATGGACTTGTTTGATTTAGATCACAGGGGCTACCGTTTTGTGTTCTCAAGAACTATTTTGTGTTGACTGGAAGAAACACTGTAAATCCACCTGGTTTTCTATATCTGGAAAAGATCTGTATCTAATCCATTAGGAATGTTTGAAGCACACAAGGCACCAAAATTAGAATTTAGCTAAGTGCAAAAGCACGTGTCTTCAGGGACAATGTAATGATACATTTAAAAAGACAACACCAAGTACATGAACTACTTGTCCTAGCTTGAGAAAAAAAAGATGGTTGTCTTTTTATAACTTCAAATAAGAAGGTCTTCTGAATACAGACAAAAAGAAAAGTTTGGATTTTTACACTATCTGTATAAGGCAAACATACAAAATCTGAAGAATCAAATGCAGAATTAATGACAACTGAAATGTGTTGTATTGTCTAGAAAATTAATATAAGCAGAGATATGCCTTACAGAGAAGTTTGTCCTACCAGGACCTTTCCAAGGGCTGATAGGAATTTTTCTGTAGAAAGCAGTGGGATAATTAAAACAGAAAACACCAATTGCCAAATAGTAACTGTAGTAACACTTCCAAGAACATATTGCAGTTTTAGGTTTCCTCAATAATATACACATGCATACATTGTATTTATTTCATTATTCAATTATCTGCTTGACTTGGCTGTCTAACATCTTTAAAGAAGCAGCTGGATCAATTTTCAGTTCAGAAAACTCCAAATGGCCTCTTATTATTTCTAACCTTAGAATATAAAAGATGGCGAGTAACTAATAGCTCCAAGGATCTCAGCTACTCGTTTTGCGGAAGAAGTCGGGGTGTCATCTTAATTTCAATCAATCAGTCAATTCATCGATCGATCAATCAAGTAATGAGTCAAATCCTTACATGTGTTTGATTGTATACACTTACTTGAGTAGATATATTTAGTGCTATTCCTGAAGTTTGCCTGTTATGTAAAAAAGCAGTATGTTCTTACTAAGCGTTACCTTGGCTATATAATACTTGGGATATTTTCCTAGGAAAGTGTCTACCAGAAACAGGCTCTTCCATATTATGTAGTTTTCTAATAATTAGATAACTAATTTTACTATTTACTTATAATGTACCAATATATAAGTTTGTATATGACTATTGAAGAACTGTAAAATTTGTAAAAGAATATAAAATCAACGCAAGCGATTGATGACCATCATATAATTTTGAGTTCTTACTGTAAAAGGATTATCAGTGCTGTCCAGTAACCTACTAATAAATGTCCCATTTCCCTTCTTTTTTTTGTTTAAAGCCCTGCATGCAGGGCTCTCTGAATACAGTACACATTACCAAAAGAAAAAGTAAAAATGTTTCCAGCACAGAATGGGAAAAAATGGAGCAACAAGACAAATGTAGGTCTAAACGAACTAATGTTGGAGTAAGCTTCACAGAGCCATTGATTATTGTACTCCAGGGACTTTTGAGAGGGAAATTTACAGCAAAGGAAAAAGCTTTCTCCTGAAATTGCACTCACAAGAGGTGGTCTGGTGGTATTTTGATAGGGATGGTCTGTTTGCTCTGGAAGGAAGGACAAGAGTCAGCCAGAAAAGATTGCATCTTCGACCACGTCTTGGACAAGCACTTTCAATTACAGTATAATGCAATCTGTAGTAATGCATATTAAACAGATTCTATAGTAATGCCATTTTATAATGCATAAGAGATGTCCAACTTTGTTTCTAATGAAGAGAGAGAATAGATTTCTCTGCAAACTGGGGAATAGTGGTTTCTTTTTGTAAGATGAAAGCTTATCTTTGTAGATGGTATCTGAATTTTGCTGTTTTTCAAAAGTATCGGGAAGTGCTTTTTAAAATCTCTTATTTTTTCTGATTTTGTCTCTTGGGCCCTGTAGTTTATAACCATATTTGTATGCTATAATACATTGGTCCTGTCTTTTTACCATGCATAAATATGATTTAGATTTAAAATGCAAAAAAGCCTAATGCTGTTTTATTAAGTGAAATTATTTCCCTTGTTTTCTTCAGATTTAGGGACAGAGATGCTACAAATAAAGATTTTCAGTTGAATGAAATTGAATAATTTAATTGATTAAATGTGAGATTCCCACCTGAATGTGTATATCCTATGTACTATTGGACTGAAATATAGTAAATAAAATAATTGTATGTAAGCCTACATTACACTGACCTCCATTTTTAAAAGATCTGGATTAAGGTGTTTAAAATTGAGAATTCAGAGATTTTAAAAAAAACATTTTAACTGTGGATAATCAAGAGATTTATAAAGATTAGACCTCTAGTAGAAGCCAAATGAGTCCTTCATGCTGGCATAAAATTCTGCTATCAATATAACTTGGCAATTTTAATTGTATGCACTTTCAAGATGTCACCTGAGTTTGGGTCATTGTCTTTTATTGTATGTGTTCTCTTTCTGTTTTTTTTGTACCGCAAATAATGTTCCTTGTTTATTATAAACAATTAACATTGATATTTGGTCCCTGTGAAGTCGCATGGAATCTCATCATTACTGCAGCTTTGGGAAATTCCTGGGATTTTCTAGATAAGCACGTGCATTCTGGTTATTAATCCAGCCTGATGCCTGGATCTCTACTGACTTGCAGCATGCAGATAAAAGAAAAAAAAGTCTCATGCCAAGGACTGGATTACTGGGCTTGGATTTACACTGCAGTCCAGCACAGATGGTGATGCTGCTTAAATTTAATGTAATTGTTTTTTGGTGCTTAGCGAAGCGTTTGTGTGAGCTTGTGTCCTGGAGAGCAGGGGCTGTCGATTTTGATTTGTTGAAACTTGGTTTTTGCAGTAGACGGGCCTGTGTCTCCTAACGTGGTTGCTGTGCTCCTCTTTGACTCCTAGAACACATACACCAATGCTGACAAGCTCTTAGAGGCCGCTGAGCAGTTGGCCCAGACCGGCGAATGTGACCCAGAGGAGATTTACAAAGCGGCTCGGCATCTGGAGGTGCGCATTCAGGATTTCGTGAGAAGGGTCGAGCAGAGGAAGCTTCTCCTAGACATGTCTGTGTCCTTCCACACTCACACCAAAGAGGTATGTCTGGTGTTGCCTACTGTAGGTGGTGGCTTTTCCCACTTCCTGCAGTGAGACATGTGAAAAGATCAGGGAGAGCAAGAGCTGGAGCTGTGGATGAAGTAGATTTGTAGGTTTTAGCTTTCTGTCAACAGAATTGGTGCTAATGACTTATAGACCTATGTAATTCAAAAGGGACCAACTTAAGACTAAAAGGGTATGCTGTCACTCTGACCGCAGATATAATTTTTTTATTCATGCCAGATAAGAGATGACACAACTGACCAAAAGGTAGTTTTGGTAAAGTCGTTTAGATACCTAATTTTAAATATCTCTTAAACTCAGTCAAAAATAGTAGCAGTAGACGTTGCTCATGCTTTTCTATGACTTGACTTGAAGCAAGAGAGCATTTCTCTCTCCATCGATCAACCTCATTGCTGACAGATATTTGACTGTATGGGTTTTGCTTTACGACAAGTCAGCAGAGCCTGTGTACAGCACTGTAAGACAAGTGTCTATAAGACCACAAGTTACTCAAGTTTACCACATTTCCAAGTGCTCCATAATTCTTCGTGATAATAATAATGTTTTTTTTCTTTTCTACAGTATGTCTGTTTTTTACTTATTCCAGCGTATACCTGGTTTTCATATTTCCACAGCATTCTATTAACAAGACTATTATTGCTGTCTAGTCAGTAATTTACTTGAAAATAATTATTTAACAAAAATAAACTATTAAAGTACAAGTTAAATTAAATAACAATTCAACTGCGGTAGTTGGATACATTTTATATAGTACAGTCTATTATACTTTTAAAAGTAACAGAATCACTGTGAATTTCTTTGACACACCTCACTAACTGAAATATACTTTTGGCACTCAAATTGAAAATATCTGCAGGCAATGTAAAGCAGATTCTTTGCCTGAACTGCCCCTAAGAGTATAATAAAATCTAATATTGCTTTTGCTCTGCTGACAAATGGAAGGTTAGCAGCCAGAGATTAGTTTGTTTTTAATATTGAGAATGAGCTGCAGCACAGGTCAAGAGATTATAGTAATAATAGGGGTGTAGAATCACCAGCTTAAGCCCTTCTCTTGTATTTATAGGCTATTTGAGGAATAAGGCTTCTTAATATATGTATTCATTATTCATCTGTGATACAGAAAAAAACTTGTCGCTTGATCGATAATACAATTTCATAATATTTTATTTTATACCCTGAACTTTAGACTTCTTGAATGCTGATCATGAGCTCTTTTTCCTTTTGATGATTGAAATGTTAGTGAAATCCATTTAATGAGAACAGTTTTGATTCATATATTTAATTAATTTTTAGAGGCTTGGTTCGCTATTTGGCAGCCGTCCTAGTCCTTTTAATTCCTTATAAAAATTAGCAAGACCATAAGCTAAAAAGGTAATGTGGAGGTAGAGACAATTTATATTAATTCAATTAAATTGCAAATTGATGCTACTGTTTGAGACTTGCTCCTACCGATAAAACTGAAGTTGAATGTCCAAAGAAAGCTATAGAAGCATGCCTGTCAATGTAAAACGTAAACCATTTAATGTTTTTCACATGAAAAACTATTTTTCCTTTTTATTATTTGTGCTCTTCTCACAAAAGGAAAAAAAAATCCAGAAATCAAACTGGATCTCAGTCTTTGAATTGCCTAATGCTGGAAAGGTAAAATCCAAGAGCTAGTAGTGATTTAGTTTAGTTTAAGAAGCAGTTAAGTAAAGGCTCTTCTAAAGAAGAAGGTTTTGAGTCTGAATTTGAAGGAGTTTAGAGAAGGTGACTCTCTGATATCCTGTCACCAATACAATGTAGACGGGCTTGGGGGACGGTTAGGAGACCAGAATTAAGAGAGCGAAGGTTGCAAGTGCGGAGTAGGGCGATAATAGTTCAGACAGGTACTGAGGTGTCAAGCCATGCAGAGCCGTATACAGTAGGTGAACATGAGGATTTTAAAGTCCACACGGAATTTAACAGGAAGCCAGTGCAAGGACTCCAGGATAGGAGTAATGTGAACACTTGCATGAGACCTGGTCAGGATTCTGGCTGCTGAATTTTGGACATACTGTAGTTTGTTCAAAGTAGATTTAGATACCCCAGCGAGTAGAGCATTACAGTAGTCAATTCGAGAGAACACAAATGTGTTGATCAGCTTTTCAGCCACAGTTAGTGATAGCATAGGGCGTAGTCTAGCGATATTTCTGAGGTGAAAAAAAGATGTTTTGACAATATGCTGCACATGTGGGTCAAATATTAAGCCAGAATCAAATATCACCCCAAGGTTTTTCAATTTAGACTGAAGCTCAAGTACAGAACCATCTACAGATAGGGTTACAGGATTGGCTTTACGAAGTTGATGGGGGGTGCCAATAAGCATGACTTCAGTCTTGTCGCAGTTAAGATGAAGGAAATTTTGAGTCATCCAAGTTTTTATTTTTTTTCAGTTTTGGACACACAAAATAAATTAGTAACCATGAGTGTATATTCTTAGGAACCATTTATAAAATTGTAATGTGATTTTTATAGTCACTTTGTCATCATCTTCCACAAATACTGACATTTGTTTTTGTTATGTCAAGCAAGAAAAACATGCAGTGTGGTAAATTGCCTATTTTTCCTTGCACTGTTGGCTTTATCATTACATTGGCTGGCATTTAATACACAGCATTCTGAAAGTCCATGAAGCAGCAATTAGCTTAAGAGGCCCACAAAGTGCTGAGCATGCAGGAAGAGGGAAAATACAGCATGCTATTCATTTTCAGGATCCTTGTTTCAGTCAAGATTTGCCTTTTAATCCAGTGGTTGAACAACTTGTGGATTGGAAGTGCAGTGTTCTCATTACATCTTTACTTTTGAAACTTCTGTAAGCGGCAAATCTTTAAGTGTAGAAGCTAATATGAGAGTGTTGACGTCTGCAGGAATGGTCAGATTTAGAATAGCAACCTACAGGCAGACAAACCTAGGGTACAGGTGGGTAGTGTGTGCAAGTTTTTCAAGCTATGATAGTGAAACGAAAGCAAAAATATAATTGCTACTAAATTCTGGGGCTTCATACTACAAAGAATGAAATCAAAGCAAGAGCACTATACTGTACATTTTTGTAACATTTTTAAAATTAATTAGCACTTTATTCTTACTGAAACAGGTTGCTTAGGTTATTTAAAAAGCAAGTACATGATATGATTTAGGTAAGGTATTATAGTGATAATTGATAGACAATCAAATACTTAAGGAGTATTTTGGTGAAATTTAAAATTTAAAATATATATAACAATAATTACTTATTCAGTTTTTTTATTAGTTTATATTAGTATTAGTATATGTTGGTTCCTGAATCCTCATCTACCTTCTCTGATTGCCAGAATTCATTAATCTAAATGTGTTTTTCTAATAAGTAAATTAACTTTTTAACATTTTATAAAACTTACGTTTTGTCATACTGGCTTTAAAAAATCTCCGTTAATTTGTTCTCAGTTGTTCTGTGTAAAACTCACGTTTCACAGACTCATGGGACAGGATGGTGTCCCTCTAATGTAAAAAGTCTGATGCAAAGCTGACAAAAATGTTTAGTGTAATACAGCACACATTACTCTTATTCCTCTCTTAAATTAGATTTCAATTATATGAAATCATATTTATATTGAATTATATTTTCATTTAAAAGATTCCTAGATGGGCTTGTTGCTTAGGCTTGGGTTGAAGTAATATTTTTTATTTGCATAGATATTTTTGTAGTATCTGTGTCTAGCTTGCTGTAATGACACTTGGTCTTCACCTAGTGTGCAGTTGCTGGCTGCTTTGCGTAAAAAAAAAACTTTTAAGAAAGCAGACATGTAGTAAACATGATATGAATAAAAACAAATCAGCTGTAGTAAGAGAACATACTGTAGACATGTTAACTATATACTGTACAGTAGGCTCAAGATTCAAGTAGAGATCAGTCTTATGCTGAAATGTGCTCAGGCTTGAGCACTAAAGACTCATCAGACAAAATCGTTTTTTTTTTTCTTTCTTTCTACTTTTGAATGTGGAATTGACCTCTACTTGTTCCTTTGCAGCCAGCACACTGGTGTATCTCGTTATATAGATTCTTTGTCCCCTCTTTCATGTGGAATAGTTTTTACTGATCTGCCTTATCACTGAACCTTGTTGTGACAGACTAAGCACTATGCTGCCTCAGAAAGCTGCCTCCTGCATCAGAATCGTGCTAAGGATTAAATGGTGAAGACGTCCATAACCTCAGAGAGAAGGAAAGTGTTTTAACTTCTGATGCTAGAGGAGAAATCTTGGCACATATCAATCACATAGCAGCCCCTCTGCAGGACTCGTTCTCACCAGGAGTTCAAGTCCCCGCGTGTCTCAAATGATCGACTCCTTTGGTGTTAATAGTATCACACTATTATGGAATGTGGTTGGTTATTAGTTAGTTCAGCTGTGACAGCTGAATGATTTTCTCATTGGAGTGTAGCCTGCTGTTTTACTAGATGTTACCCTGTTGTTAACCTCAACAAAATGCCATAGTATGTCTGGGTAAAACTCACTGAGAAAGCCCATTAATGTGATTTGTGACTGATATTACCTGACTGTTTGCACATATTTGAATTTAAATCAGCTTGTAAATGTTTGTTTAAGTATAAATAAATCCTCTGGTTAGCACTTCCATAGATTATTTGGGTGTTTCTTCCTAATCGCATAGGCCTTAATTCAGATTTATTTTTCAGTCTCTGTGTAATTCTTCCTAACCTGTTTCAACTTAAAAGATGTAAAAACCCTTCAGTGGCTGAAATAACAAAACTATTAGTGAGCAACATTTGTAATCCTTAGCATGCCCAGACCAGACTTGGTGAACAGTTTCTATGGCAACTGCTGAAATGGAAAAGCCACTCTACGTGTTAACCCTTAAAATAGAAGTAAAATCAGACTCAAAATAGAATCTTTGTACAGTACTGTTGTGAAATATGAGCAAAAGTTTCTGATATTTCACAGGAAATTGGAAATGCCACCATGTGTCCAACAGTGACTTTGGAACAGATTTCCTGCAGATGTTAAGGGCTGAGATGAGAGAAAATTTCCACAATTCAGCAACATCCCAGTCACTCCAAAAAGCAGCCTTACCGTACATGGCGAAGTGCAAACCCGTCTCAACAAAGCTTTTAAGCGTTACTACAAACTTGGGACAAACTGGAACTCTTTAGGCTAAATGCAAAAAATGCAAATGACATCTAGTGAAAAATGTCAAACATGGCATGGCTGCATTATATTCACGTAACGCCTAACTTGTCAAAGTAAATGAGTTCATTTTTGGCTTGTGAGAACGAAAGTGGCTAATGCTTATGCAATCAAGATATATTAGGTTTGGATTCTTCTTTACAGTTTTTGCTGATGTAAAACTTTAGTTCACCCATGAACACGTTCACTTTTCGCGTTCGGATTTGGATTCAAATTGGTCACTTTAAAAAATGTATACTTCATTTGTTATTCAACGAAAGGGGCCATCAAGGGAGGGGGTGAATATCTTTGCAAGGAGCTGTATTTATAAATACCAAATTAGCCCTGCAACTGCTGTAAATTAGATCCATAGTGGAATGGTTTGAGATCAAAATGATCCAGAGTGGAGAAGCCCCCTGCTCTCTGAAAGCAGGAAAATATCAGGTTATCTTGTTAGAATTGTGGTTCTTCACATGGTGGTTATTTGTCTGTAAATGTTGAACAACCTAATTACAGCTCAGCTGATTAAGCTCCTGTTAGAGCCCTCAGTCAATCAGTCATCATTTTCTTGTTCTTACAGTGTTTAAAATCATTAATCAGTGAGTAAATACAGAAGCTTTTGGCCTTTCCATCTGCTCTCTTTGTACAGCATGTATACATACTGTATGCCATGTTACAATAGTTGTGCGAATGCTTTTTTGATCCCTGTATTCTCTGAAACTGACAGTTATTCTGGTCAGCAATCAGCTGTCTGTGGGCTTTTAAACGCCTCTGGATGTACCTGTGTTATGTACAGTATTGCTGGGTTCATTCAAACTGTTCCTTGGACGTTTCTGTTATGTTCAATAAAGAAGTAAAGAGTTTTGGGTATCCTTTTTAATTCCTAAGTAAATGATCATGAACTATCTTTCTCATATACTGGACAGTATAATAATATTTAGTTCCTTACACTTCTGGACACTCCATTCAAAGCGCTTTACAGGTAATGGTGACTCCTCTCCACCACCACCAAAGTGCAGCATCCACCTGGATGATGCGACAGCAGACCAGTACACTCCCCACACATCATTTATCAGTGGGCCTATTCAGAAATGGGGATTATTAGGAGCCCATGATTGGTAAACACTAGGGGGAAATTTAGCCAGGACACCAGCATAACACCCCTACTCTTTTTGAGAAATAACCTGGGATTTTTAATGACCACAGAGAGTCAGGACCTTGGTGTTATGTCTCATCTGAAAGATGGTGCCTTTTTACAGTATAGTGTTCACTATATACAGACCACAGGGTGTTCGCCCCCTACTGGCCCACTTACACCACTTCGAGAAGCAAACTTAGTTTTTCCCAGGAGATCTCCCATCCAGGTATTGGCCAGGTATTGGTATTGCTTAGCTTCAGTGGGTTGTCAGTTGTGAGTTGCAGGGTGATGGTAGGGTACTGTATGATGGCTAGAAAAGAATGTGAATTCAAATAAAAGGGCATAGTGTGAAATGTCCAATATTAGTTGTGACCTATTTTGAAACCAGTCTGCTGTTTAGAAAAAAAAACATGAAATGTCTATATTTCTGTGAGAAAAGTATTTTGGTCAGTGCAATGGCTTACTCAGATCTATATTTTGTCTGTCACTGTTTAAGGGATGCAAATAGCCCACAACTGAGTGGTTTCGCATTAAAGCCACAATCTGAAATAAAAAGCAAGTTATGAAAGTAAAAGGTAACGATCTCAATGTATGTGATGACACGTACAATGTACATGAGACATGTAAAGACTAAATAAATCAACAGAGTTTTCATCTCTCTTGTCATTGCTAGTTGTGGACATGGATGGAGGACTTGCAGAAAGAGCTTTTGGAAGATGTCTGCTCTGACTCTGTGGAATCTGTGCAAGAGTTGATCAAGCAGTTCCAGCAGCAGCAGACAGCTACCCTGGAGGCCACCTTAAATGTCATCAAGGAAGGGGAGGACCTTATTCAGCAGCTAAGGTAAGGCATGCCCTTTGTGTTAAGAGCTGGATTTTAAAGCAAGCTGTGGCAGGGAAAATTTCACCCCTGCTGTATACTCACGTGTAGATTAAGCAATTGCTGGTTTTGATATTAAGTCATTCTGATGTAGTGCTCGTTGGGATTTCTCTGAAATCAGCATTGGCAATACACAGACTAACACACACACATATACAGTATATGCAAGTATATGAAGAGATAAACATTAATATTAGAATATTAATCTTGTTACGAATGGGAAATTTGACCAAGCAGTTTAGTCAATAAGATAATTATTCAGAACCCCCAACTTGCAAGTGATTTCTCCAGAATATACCCGAGCGCCTGGTATACTTAGAGGCACGTGAATTCTTTGTTCTCTGGCACAACTTTGGTGAAAAGAGTAACAATCCACAAATGTTTAACAAGGACAAGACAGAAACTACACTACACAAAACAAAAAATTACAACACACAATTACTCTATGTACAGTATTTACAGACAAGCCATTTCAGAGGCCTAACATTCTAATCACCCAGAAAAAAACCCAAACTTCTACTAAGCATGAAACTCTTAATTAATGCCCACAGAGGCCAAATAAGAGATACTGTAAGTTGCCTTCTAAAATGCAATACAACTTGCACTTAAGTCTCTCTCTCTGAACCCAGGATGCCACAAAATAAATGGGAGCCTTTCTCCCTATCCAAAAAATGCACCCTAAACAGGAAAGACGTTTTTCTTTACCCAGGAAACCCAGGTTCCCTAAAAACACAGAATAGCAAGCTCTCTCTATCAAGCCTCAAATACGTAACTCCAGTCGGGTTTTGTTTGGATGATCACGAATTAGGATCTCTCACCTGGCGCAAGCTTCAGTTTCCACCTCCTCTGGACTCTTGTCTCTCCTCTCCTCTTTCTTCTTCCCTGCTCCTTGTTCTTGTTTTTTGTTATGATCTTATATTGTGTGCTTCTGTACTGCTCATTAACAATTTTTAACCCACAACGTACCTACTGTAGGTATACCAAGGTAAACTTTTCAAAGGTTGCTGATCAAGGGACCCCCACATCTCAACAAACATCCTCTGTGCTTTGAAGCTAGAAGTGTTTTATTCTGCCAAGTGTCACACACTTTATCTAAAATCTAAGAGACACTTCTCAGTCAAAAGAAAGCTGTAACAATATATTACAATATAATAGGATTAAACAGTGCTTCCCAAACTCAGTGGTGTGTCCTGGAAGGGTCTCAAGTGTGCTATGGAATCAAAAGAGGTGTCCACTTTCAAATACTTCTTTCCAGCTTTGAATCAAATATCAAACAGCTATGTTCAGTGAGACAAGTTTACATTTTGCATGACTACTGTATGTCATGTCACTGGCCAACAATGATGGGGATTTGGTTCACCACTGGCAGAGCCAGAGCACCAGATGCTTGGGATAATGCCAATAGTGATTCCTGTAACTTGCAGCGATGTCAGTGACAGAGATGCTGCTCCTGCAGTTTGTGCTAACTCTCTAGTCAGGAGCTGTGGAAGTTGCAACTTGTCAGAAGAGTAGCAGATTGGAGGATTATATCCATGTGTGTCATCTGCTCTTTGCTGGCTATTTGAGTCATCGCTGACATGATTGTCTTGAAAAAAATGGTCAACAGAATTTCTGTACTCTTGTTTGATTTGTTTATTGTAAGGCTGCTTGTATACGCAACAGAGTGGTTCCTTTTTCCACAGAGGTCATCTCTGACCAGTTGACTAGGCTAAACTAAATCAACGTTTTTACCAGAATAGCTTTTATGACTTCACTATTCACCGTTTTGAGAATTCTTAAGGGATGCACATTTTATATTATTTGAAATTCACAAATAGAAATTGATTGATAAATGAGAATGAATAATTTCTCTAAAAGTTGTAATTTTGTAAGGAAATTGACATGGTAGCTTATCACTTTTAAATTGATAGGAAATGGTTTTGTTTTACTTAAGTTGCATTGGAAGCATTGCTCAGAATGCTATCTGATACCAAACAAAGTGTTTTTTACTGCAGCTTCAGCTGAGGTCAAAGTAGTTTTATGTACTGTGAGCCCTTGTTAGCGTGAGAGGGTCAAATGTCAGTGTGGGAAATGGGCACACTCTTTCTGCTGGATTCTTCTGGGTCACTAAAAGCCAAGCTTGAAGCTAGGAGAAGGGAGTACTCATTGAGAGCATCTTCGTTTGTCTGTTTCAAGTTATACACTTCCACTCCTGTGCACTAATTCAAAAGCTTTCTTGTTGGATTTGCTTGCTTGCCGGTTGTTTTTAATGGTTCATACACATGTTGTTCCCCTCTTTTCTATGTGTTGCCGCAGGGATTCAGCCATGTCCAGCAATAAGATGCCACACAATAGCTCCATCAGCCACATTGAGAGCGTGCTGCAACAGCTAGACGAGGCCCAGGGACAGATGGAAGAATTATTCCATGAGAGGAAAATCAAGCTAGATATTTTCCTGCAGCTTCGGATTTTTGAGCAGTACACCATTGAGGTAAGAGCTGGCATGCAATGCTACAGCAATGGGCTCAAGCAAACAGATGGGGACATTCTCCCTGGAGATTAGTCAGTTCTTCTTTGACACTCTAGGATGCATGGGCTCAGCTGGCAACAGGGGGAACCGAGAAGGAGGTGATTCACTTTTTGATGGTACATCTGGTAGCTGCTGTGGCTTATTAAATAATGTATTATTTTCTTACAGGAGTGGCTGGTTCTAGTTGACTTTGATTAATAAGTCCTCTTCCTTGCGTGATTCCTTTCTTAAACTATAATGTACACTTTTTTTAAAGCTACATGGGAGAGATGAATGTGTTTATTCTTATTGATTTTAAGACTGGTTCTCAAGTTGTAAATAACACAGAACAGAAAAAGCTTTAATTAATTGTCGACAAGGGGTACTATGCAAAATGTTTGCAGACATTGAATGAGAAATGCCATTTGATGCATTAGAAAAAGAGAATGCAACAAGATTGCTCGTATAATTGATCATTCTATCTTAAAGAAGTTTTTAAGGTGATGTTTTCTGATGGAAATTAAAATCTTATGTCCCTGGAAATTCATATAAGTACATATTGCAGAAAAATGTCTTTACATAGTTAAAAAGGTTTCATCAATTGTTTCTTGTTCAATCTATATACATGATTTACACTAGAGTTATCATACTGATCTTGGTAGGTTTCCTTGTAGCCATATTGTGGTGTGAAAGAGGGCATCATAGTTAAGACTAACTGTGGTGATTAACCACGCAGTGTGAATGGTGTCAAAGTCACTGGAGCAAAGCTAGGGGGTAAAATGGATTGCAAAAAGAGATCCCTATTATACAGAATTAATTGACCAGAAAGTGGAAATGAAGTGAGCTGCTCAGATAAGGATTAATTAACTATTTCACACCTGAATTTAGTTTAAATGCATTTCTGATCATTTTTATCATAGAATGTGACTTTTTTTGCATCATTATTTATTTTGTAACTATTGTTCTTGGTAGTAGCAGTACTGTGGTAATGGCCTTTGGATTCATTTAATCAAACTTTAGTACTTTCTTTTGTTTTGGCTTTGTTAAAGGAGCACAGTAGTTTATGACCCACCATTCGAAACACTGAGTGGTCTTTGCTGGGGAAAAAAAGGTTTAAATTGTTGTTGTGAATTATAACAGTTAAAAATGAAATCATTATAATTTTTGGGACTAATTCAAAAATCCAAATTCAAAATGAAAATTATGCTTGAAATTCAAAGCAATGTATTTGAAAGTCTTAAAAATGCACTACAGTATTTTCCCAGACTAACATTAATATTTTAACGATTTTTTTCATAATACAGTATATTGCATTAAGGCATGAAGCTTGTGTAGTAAGTGTTCGCCCAGACCATACAAAATATGAAGTGTGTGCCTTGCTTTAGGTGACAGCTGAGCTGGATGCCTGGAATGAAGATCTTCTGAGGCAGGCAAATGACTTTAACACCGAGGACCTCACCCTTGCTGAGCAGCGTCTTCAGCGACACACTGAGCGCAAACTGGCCATGAACAACATGACCTTTGAGGTCATTCAGCAAGGCCAAGACTTACACCAGTATATCATGGAAGTACAGGCGTCAGGTAGAAGAAGGTTTTTTGTTTATTTTGTACTGTATGTGTGTTTTTCTGGATGTGTTTTTTCAGCCAAAATGTGTCATTAAAATACTGCACAGTACTGCTTCGCTTTGCAGAGCATGAGCACGTGCACGAGTGTGGAACGTAGGGGAGGTTGTGTATTAATCCAGCCGGCTGCTGGAATTCAGCAGCTGGAGCAAATTCAGGAATTAGGTTAAAATGCAGAGCTTTTTTCCACAATCCTCTTATGAGTGCTGTGCCTTAATGTGACATACTGGGATATATTTTAACTATCACAGGAGAGGTTAAACCTCTGAATCCCCACTTAACATGTAGTGGTGGGATCCAGTTTGAATCAACACTGCTCTGCTAGGGAATGATTTGAGACTTTAACTTTTGTGTGCAGATGAATCCTAGCATCCGGACGAAAGTCCAATCTAAATATGATTTCTTGTAGTGGTGATGTAAAGCAAGAAGAATTTTAAGTGGATTTTCTATAAAACACAAAAGTGTGACTAATTGCAAAGGTCAGATTAAAGTTATTTTGTCCCATGCTTAAAATTATTAATGCGTGTTTTTCAAAATGTCAAAAATATAGAGCAGAATCAGTGCTTTCAACCGTCATTAGTTCAAATTGAATGTTAAATTGTTAAAAACAATTCTTCTCTTGTGTGGATTTCTGTTCATTTCAGTGGAAGGCATATTGTGTGGTTAAACACCTAAACTTTAACCTGCAAAGGAATAAGTAAAGGTTTATTCCATGCTGAAAAGAGAAGAAAAGAAACACAATGTTTTCTTCGGACCCCAAGAAGGCTCCACAGCTGTGTTTCTTTTCTTCTCTTTTCCGCATAGAATAAACCTTTACTTGTTCCTTTGCAGCCTACGCATGCTGACGCAGCTCCCTGCTTAAACTTTAACCTGATCTGAAAGGCATTCAAACACATCTTAATTTAGGCCTAATAAAAAAGTACAATTTTATTGTTAGTCTGAAATGATATTTAATGACATGAGGTGCATTTACCCTCACATTTCAGAATGATTCTCATAATTCTAGAATCATTCTCAATTTCTATACATATTCTGCTGAAATGGTGTCTTTGCACCTCACTGAAAATGGTGGTATTTTTAACCTCATAAAAATGCCTGTGCGTGCACACTTTTTCATTTTACTTCATTCTCGTCACCGTGGAGTGGGACATCACTGCTTCCTTATTTTTTCTCACACTTGGCGTAAAGTTACAGAATTTTGGGACAGCAGCAGTGGGAGGATGTGCCCTGTGCAACTCATTCTCTGCCGAAATTCAATTTCTGTCTCTCAAGTGCCTTTCTACCCTAAGCCCCACAGCACTTCCTCATACAGCAGTAAAGTGTGCAAGGCCAGCTTCCTGTCAGGGGAGAATGCAAGGCTATCGTGTCTTCCTGTGGTATTATGTCATAGTTACAGGATCAAGAATCAAACGAACCCCTTAATCCCAGTGTTTTCATGTTATTTTTATATTTTCAGAAGCACATTCACACTACTACATTCTTCCAAAATGCTCTCAGTGGAGTTTGCATAAGAACAAAATAGTGGAATGCATTTTTATATATATACTAGTCCAAATGCACTGAACAAATAAGTAACAGCACGCCAATCATACAGAGAAAAAATAAAATTCACGTACCAGAGAAACACAATTTTTAAACGTATCTGTGCAACCAGGTGAGATCAGCATGTTTTTACTTGAAAATCTCTAAATTATCTTTAGCCAGATTTTACTCTTTCCTGCGTAATGCAAACCTTAATCTTCAGCAAGTGTTTTTTTGTTGTCATTTCTATCATGCTGCAGAATGGCACCTGATAAAACCTGAAAATTTCCATCTTGTCTCTGAAGTTGATAACCATTGTTACGGCTACAAAAAAACACTGCTTTGAACCTGTTGTTTGTAGATAGTATATGGTATAGTTCCACCTACTGGAGAAACAGTGTAATCTCTGTTTTTAAATTAAGAAAACATTTGGGTGTTTCTTGTTGTTTAAGAATGGAATCAGTCATAGAATGTCTGAGAACAATATGGGAGACTATACACATACTGTAGTATGGGGAAGATTTAACACCACTTTCAAACTAAACATCAGGAACACTAACCCCTGAAATAAGTATGACTTATTTGATATCGATAAAAGTGAAATAAAGGTTGTCAAAAATCCAACAACTGTCATTTGGCCCTGTTTATCTTGGATATCCTGGTGCTGCTGCATGTCTGAGTATGCTGTTTTATTTTTATATTTAATCTAACTGCAGTTCTTGCAAAAAACTACAGAAATTCTTATATAATTCAGCAAACTGATTTATTCCAGTAACTCTTCAGCGGGTCGTATTTTATTTTCTATGGGTAGCTATGGGAGTTTAATAAATTGCATACCATTAATTGTCCCAAGCAACATTTTTTCAGACATAATTCCTTCTTTTTTGTTCTGTCTGTCAGGGATTGAGCTGACGTGTGAGAAGGAGGTGGATCTCGCTACCCAAGTGCAGGAGCTCCTGGAGTTTCTTCACGAGAAGCAGCACGAGCTGGACTTGAGCGCTGATCAGACGCAGAAGCGGCTTGAACAGTGCCTGCAGCTCCGGCACCTGCAGGCTGAGGTCAAACAGGTAAACAGAAAAGAAAGAGCAGGTGCTGCTGTCTGTAGTGTGGCAGAACATTGGACAAGGAAACTGATATTGTCAACTGTGCTTCCTGCTGTTAATGAAACCCTGATAGCTTTGATTCCTACTAACGAAAATTCAGCGGACCGTTCTGTGACTTCCTTAGTGTATCAGTTCAATATTTTATCGATATTTGGCTCTTTGTGTCTATTAAAGTCTCTTTCAGTATTTGAGTAACTGCACATCAGTTCAATTCTGACAGTGTGATCAGTTTAAATAACATCAAACCTATTATGATCATTTACAGCTAATAGTCTGAAATGGCATTGAAGTTTTAAGCTATGTGGTGAAAGGTTAGTTGTCATGAGTACATAACCTCAAAGCCACTAGGATACGGTCTGATTTTGATTCTACTATATTGTCATCTAATTGAAGGAAGTGGAAGGTTTAGTATTCCAAGAGGGTGTGCAATTTCATTTAGGAGACCTAACTTTATTCTTCTTTTTTTAATGTACTAAGAAAATACATTTTAGCCAATGAGAAGTATTAAGAGAGCCATCCTTTATAAATGTTAGCATAGGTTACAGGCAATTATTTTAAGTAAAAACAATACCATAACTGAGATTGCACATTACATTTCTTTCATCTAAATTGGGTAGACGTATTGGTCTGCAGTTTTATGTGTGATTATAATGTAATGACTTTCTAGTGTAATGTCAGTAATGTAATGGAGTAATGTCATGAAAGACAGATTAATAGAAGCTATTTAAGAGTTTATTTAAGATATTTACGACGTTGATCTTTCAAGTTTCTTATATGGTAATCTTGTTGTGGTTTGAGTATAATTGGACAAAGATAAAAGAAAGACAATTCTCCAACAGACAAAAGTCTCCTATTGCTGACCTTGTATTTTATTTTTATTTTTGCATTTTATAATGTATTTTCATTTATTATTTATAATAATTATTTATTATTTATTTATAATTTTATCTGTATATGACCTGCCGGCATATTAGTTTTTTTTTCCTTTATAATGAAGTTACTTTAAGATAGATATATAACTTTACTCATTTTTATGCTTTATTATTCATAATTCATCAAAAGTTCATTGTTATAGAACTTAACCAGCTGTGTGATTGGCTGAGGTTTTCAAACCAGGGGTAGGATACTTGATATCCATTTATCAAGAACATCTAATCTGAAAATAAAATAAAAAAGAACATTGATTGAGGATATTCAGGGGCCCTTGGGCATTTTGTTCATACAACAAATTTAAATTCTACAGTGAAACTGAAGTTATATAGAACGAATTGAATTTTAGATGGCAAGATTGCAGTTTCGTTTCCTGTATGCATAAGGGCTTATAAAATATAAAACATTCTTGTGAGAGGAATATTTAGAATCATCTCCTTCCTGGTATGGAAAATTGTAATTAAAGTTAAATTAATAATTCAGACTCATGATACTAGCCATTCATACACTGAACATTTTTGAGACTAGAGAATGAGTTAAGTCTAGTACTGGATGTCAATGAATAATTGATGTCCTGTGTTCATCTGCTGTGGGGGCTGAGCTGAAGTTTAATTTCAGATACTTTGCCTGTTGCCATATTTGCTTAAGTGTTTTCAGGCAAGATCCTTGTCTGAGTCAATAGAGTTACAACAAAGCATGGCATTCTTGATTTTATTTATTAATTTAAATTTCTTTGCTCACAACGTTTCTCCTCAGGCAATGCAAATACCACATTCAAAATATATAAAAAAAACTTTGCATAACGTACCTTAGATTAATCTTAGTGTATAATTTGTATATTCAGGTGGGTAGCTACGTCAGCATGCGTAGGCTGCAAAGGAACAAGTAATAGGTTTATTCCATGCTGAAAAGAGAAGAAAGAAAACAAAACGTTTCGGCTGTGGAGCCTTCTTCAGGTGTGGGGCTCCACAGCAGAAACATTGTGTTTTATTTCTTCTCTTTTCAGCATGGAATACATCTATTACTTGTTAATTTGTATATTGCCTTTCTTATCTCAAATCCGCCTTCACTGGTTTAATATCAAATGTTAAACTGCTCTTGTCAATTTAACATAGTTGCTCAGTATATCTTTGGGGTTGTTGGAAGGAAACAGGGATTGCTACAAAAGGCTTTCAAAATACTCAGTAGAGACAGACAGAAACATTTTAGGATGAAGCTCAGGGAATTCTAGTGAAGTGGAACTTAAAAGCATATTTGTCGTATACAGTATGTGCTTTTAAATTTCATTCCACTGGCCACAAGGCCATTTAACCTACATACTTCAGTTTTATCTGTAAGAAACAGGGCCAGACCACAAGAGCTTCTCAACCGTCATAACTAAATTGGTAGGAGGTCTCACATTCCATTAAACATACACTGCACCTCTTTCACTGTGATGGCTGGGACTACTTTGGTAAAGTGTACTGCATTAAATTGAGGAATCAAAGTATATGGTCTCTAGTTTGTTGGATTCCTCAAGGAGTTTTCATAGAAAAAAAGTTGAGGATAAAGAGCGGAACCTACATTTTGTCCAGTCTATGACATCCTTGGTTTAATTGAAATTTACTTTGCTCTTGGTATGGATAGATACACTATGTAATTAAGGATTTTCCTAACAAACATTTAGGAAAGACAGGAGCAGTATGGAAGCAATGTCTTATCAGACACATATTAGTAACAACTATACTGTAAGTACTGTATATACAGTACTATAATGACAAAAGTGAGCACTACCTATATAGATAAAGGGATGTATTTATAAGACTATGTACTGTACTATATATAGGTATGTGCAATGAAAATCATCAGCATATTATCATCATAGCTACATGTTTATAAGTAACGTGCAAGTAGCCTAAACACAGGTCACATGAGAATATATTCCTTTTCAGAAGGTGTACATGAAGATAATGAGTGCTTGTAATTGGTCAGTGTACTACGACTGACAGAAGCTGATTAATCCAACTATTCTTGTGGGGGAAAATCACAAAATCTCTTAATTTAGCTCTGTTTAGATTACTTGCTTTTTAGAATGAGACACTAACACAAATTATTGATAGTCTATCTTCTTCTAAAACCTCTTGTCTTGTTTCTTTGCTCATTCATCCCCCTGTGTGCAAGCATGCTGTTTTCTATGAAGGTGGTAGGGTAATGCCTTGAGCAATTGTGGATGATGATGGTGCTGAGTGTTCATTTAAAGCCATATGAACAGCTGTCCTATAGTAATGCTTTGAGGCAGCAAGATCCAGATTCTAGTCCTATTGAGAAGAATCACAGTAATCCTGCAGACCTTTCTTTCCAACAAAATGATAAAACCAGTTAATAAGTCTGCTTTACCACCCTCTGCTGAACAGTGTATTCATGCATTTTTAATAACAGCATACATACTGTAATATTGATAGACAGCTGTTCACCAAGCCTTCTGCTGTTTGTCAGCTACACCCATTCCTGCTCTCAAAAATATGAGTTTGTTTAATTTTACTACTGTGGATGCTACTTACTGTATGTGACAAGAGTAGAAAGATACAACAAAGTGAGACCTACGGCTTGTGCTTTGTAGCGTTTTCCTACTCTCAACTCAAATCTAGCTCCTCTGTTAGATTATGCCTATCTGACCATTTGGTAGATAGTTGCATATTGATGCAAGAATCACATCCACTTGTTTCTTGAAGGAAGCCAGGGTATCAGCTTCAACCACATACAGTAGCTGAGTAGCTCGTTCCTGTCTCATCAATAGGTCCCTGAAATCGGGTCTTGTGCCAGTAAGATTGCTTGTGGACTTTAGTCCATGTAATATTGTTCTTCTGAACTTAAAATGCAGCTTCTTATACTGTCAATCATGACATTTAAAAGGATTAGATAGCAAACCAGGAATTACTGATTAAGTACTTATCTTCATTGGTTTGCCTTTATTTGGCTAAAAAGAGACCATTTGTAAGTTTTAGCTTTAAGACCTAGCCTCTGTTGTGTTTGGTTGCAGACATATAACAAAATAGTTAAGGGGTTGAAAATTCCAGGTGGAAGTTGGCTCTGGAGGCAGGACAATAAGAGGTTAAATCTGAAATCTCAGTTACTCAGGGTGTTCCACAAGGTACTATGCTGGGACCTGTACTATTTAAATGCTACTATTTGATGTCATCAAATCTCAGAAGCTAAGAAAGGCTAGCCCTGGCCAGTACTCTTATGTGAGACCTTTAGGAAATAATATCAGATTTTTTCTGGTGGTGTTAGTGGTTTTGGAAGCACTCTGGACCAGAATTTCCAAGTCCACACCCCAGTATGGTGACAAGGAATAGAGTGTTGTAGTATTAGTAGTGACCTTCTATTATAATTCAAAGTTAATTTTAGAAACATTTTTTAAAAAAGGTATCTCTGTTATATTGCCATGTTGAACATTAATATTTATCTTTATATCATTATGACCAGATTACTGTAACATCTTCCTAGGATATTTATTAAGATACTACAACAGGCTTAGATACTCTAAATCCAGATTCTGTGGCTCTTACACTAGTCAATATTACTCTGCCTCAACATGTAAACCCTGTTCTGTGTAAATTGCATTGGCTCCCAGCAATGCATTCATCTTCAGGTTACGTTAATACTTTATTGCATGTTCTTACAGTCCAACACTGAGGTCTGCTCATTTGTCTCTTTTTATTCTAAGATAAAGCTCAACATATTATGTAGTAGAGTCTTCTCGTGTGCAGCTCTGCAAATTGTGGAGCTCCTTGTATAAATCCTTTAGAGACCCTGTGATTCTCAACATCTTAAAAACTCACTAACAGGTATTTTTCCAGTGCTGTATTTTTACTATTGGTTTTATATAGTCACTTTATTGTGTGGTGCTTCAAATATTTTGAAAAAAATATTAGACTCGTGTCTTCCTTTTATTTTGTTCTTTTTTTCAAATTTTCCCATCCGTTTTAATCAATATCGATGGGAGCTGTTTATTACTATTGATCGAGCTAACTGAACATTGTGCGCTGAAGCAAAGGAAGGGAATTTGCATCTTCAGTCTCCTACAGTATCTACCCCATCGAATGTAATAATTTAATTGAGTGAACGTCTGTGAACAGTAAGACAATTGACTTTCCTCCTGACGTGTGCCTTGTCTTGTGCCTTGTGCCCAGGTGTTAGGCTGGATTCGGAATGGGGAATCCATGCTCAGTGCCAGTCTCGTCAATGCTAGCTCCCTGTCAGAGGCGGAGCAGCTCCAGAGAGAACATGAACAGTTCCAGCTGGCCATCGAGGTAATTACCGTAATAAGGCTAATTGTTTCAATACGCATTGCCATAACAAGCCTCTATATAAACATGGAACAATGCATTAATTGTTTTTTGTACTACTTTAATTTAATTTCTAAACCTGCTTTTTTAGATAAATAAGCATGTAAGCATGGGCGGGGGGAGGAATGATTTGGAAAAAGAGAGACATGCCTGCAATCTCATGGATGCTGAGAGGGCTATTAAGTATAAATGTGTCTTCTCAAAGTCCTGAGCCCTGGGCAAATTCATAAAGCCAAACACTTCAAGTTAATCTCTGGAAAATGGACAGACAGTGTTTTTTTTTTTGTGTGTGTGGGATTCATCATTTCTTTGGATTCAGTCTGAATAATTAAAGAAGAGGCCTTCAGCTGACAAAGTTCCTGACCCTTTTGAGCTTCATAAAAACATGTTTTGAGAATGTAGAACCATATAATACGGTAAACTCTACTTCTCAAATATATAGTATTATAGTATATAATAATGCTTTTATCTAAAGCAAAAGAATACATTTTCACTTTTTCACAATTGTACTTAGATCTTCAATATAAATATTTAATATAAATCTCTATATCTTTAAATGTGATTAAGATCTTAAAGTCTCAGCTTGCTCTGATTTAATTTTAACTTGTATTGTTCAACACACATTTCCAGTAGATGTACACTGGAAGTAATTACAGTAATACAATGGAAGACATTAAATGAAAAGTGTTAATCATTATCCAAAAATATTGTATGTAGTACATGTGTGTGCTGTCCTTAGCTTTAAATAGAAGGTTAGTGAGATATTTTTTTAAGATTAGGGTAGTATAATTAAACTCATAGGAAGGCCAAAAGTCTCTTTTTATTACATATTGGAAGTCTGTTTATTATCATTCTATACAGTATGTCTGACTAAACAGAGGAACTAAGGAGGTGAAATACTTACATATTTTGATATACCACTACCACATTAGATAAACAGTGTTAAAGCGCTGGTGTTTTGCAAACAAATATACCATATGCATTGGACCGCCAGAAAAAAAAGCAAATAGAAGTTGAATCCTGTACTGAGCGATATTTTTGGTTTAATGTTTTCAAAGAAGCACAGTACAGTTATTACTTTTGTTCTCAAGTGAATGAATCAAGTGGTATCATAAGTTTTGCTACATAGTTTTGCTTAAAGCCCCCATATTCCTGATTGTCAGTTTCCAATGTGTTTAATTTTAGCTGAATACTGGAAATAGTTTGAGCACAACTTGGCAGAGAATATATACTACAGTAGTTCCACTGACAGATCTGCATTATTAGAGGCTGAATAAACTTGTTAAAAGTATTCAGTGCCTCTTAAAAATAGATTTATTACCTCCTCTGCTCCACTGCTCAGTTCAACTACCAAACAAGTATGCAGCATTTTGACACTGAAAAATATGGATGTTGTCCAAGAAAAAATGATTTAGGTCTGGGAGGCTATATTTAAAAAAATCATGCTCAGTTTCAAAATTCTATATATATATATTTCTTATTTTAAATTATTTAATTTTTTTCACATGCTACATGACCTACAACAGGATTTAAATTTTGTTTAATTTCTCACATTTCCCATGCTCACACCTCACCTTCGTACCATGTGCCTGGCATTTCTGCACAACCGTCATGCCTCCACCCCCACACACAGTCCCTCTTTCACGCCACTTCTCTGCAGAAAACCCACCAGAGTGCCCTCCAGGTGCAGCAGAAAGCAGAGGTCATGCTTCAGGCTGGACATTATGACCCTGACGCGATCAGGGCTTGTGCAGAGAAGGTGGCACTGCACTGGCAACAGCTCATGCTCAAGATGGAGGACAGGCTCAAGCTGGTCAATGCCTCTGTTGCTTTCTACAAAACCTCAGAGCAGGTGAGTGGCACCGAGAGGGGGATATTTAGTTTATGATCTGGCAAAACTATTGTCTGAATGACAACTATATGGTATATCGGCTCTGAATATGAGACTAAAGGGATACTAGTTGACCAATCCCAATCTTTTGAGAGTTAGTACTGTAGTTTATTAACTGTGGATCTCATGCAGCTTTTTTAAAGAATTCCAGGGATCTCTGTATAACAAAGTCCTTCCTATTTCCAATCCAAACCATACTTTTAGAATGTCTGTTCTTACACTATGTGCACTTACATTTGGTCCACTTTTCTTTGCTTATGGACAATAAAGCTTTTGATTCAGGAATTCAGATTTTTAACAAAAAGAATCAAAATAATTTCAAATAAAATGTGAATTTGTGTAATGCTCATGCTGCACGCTTTGGATTTGTTGCAGTAAGACTGATGAGGGGCTATTTAAGTTTCTTTCACTAAAAAATAGGTGCAGTAACTGCCTATCTAGATGTTTCTGAGAAGCATTCCAAGAAATAAAAGCTTTCTAAATGAGAAGCTTTTTTTAAGTCAAATTAGTGATTTATATAATACAAAACATGAAAGAAGTAAAAAAGCAAGACATCTCAAAACTAGAACATATGTTGCTTCAAATATTTTGAGAAAAAAAGTTCACTTATTTACAAAGACATTATTATTTTTGACGGCATATATTTAGACTCGTGTCTTCCTTTTATTTTGTTCTTTTTTCAAATTTTCCCATCCGTTTTAATCAATATCGATGGCAGCTGTTTATTACTATTGATCGAGCTTCCTGAACATTGTGCTCTGAAGCAAAGGAAGGGAATTTGCATCTTCAGTCTCCTACAGTATCTACCCCATCGAATGTAATAATTTAATTGAGTGAACGTCTGTGAACAGTAAGACAATTGACTTTCCTCCTGACGTATGCCTTGTCTTGTGCCTTGTGCCCAGGTGTTAGGCTGGATTCGGAATGGGGAATCCATGCTCAGTGCCAGTCTCGTCAATGCTATATCCCTGTCAGAGGCTGAGCAGCTCCAGAGAAATAAAAGCTTTCTAAATGAGAAGCTTTTTTTAAGTCAAATCAGTGATTTATATAATACAAAACATGAAAGAAGTAAAAAAGCAAGACATCTCAAAACTAGAACATATGTTATGGCAATTAAGTACTGTAGGCATACTGTGCCTTATTCATACAGTACCTAGAGTTCAAAGATTCAGCCACTAGGGGGTGTCACTTATGCACTTATGCTGTATGATCTCAACTGGGACATTTTTAGTCTTTGGATAACTAAAAAAGCTGTCAGATCTGTTGGTGTGCCTATGAATATTTTTATTCTGTACTGCATAGCATTTCTGAAGGTTTTTTTGAGCATCATTTTTTGAATGATGGGGTGCCCCCTAGTGTCTTAGTCTGGAAACACTGAAAAACATGTGACAAGAGTTTGAAATACCTGGAAAAATACTTTCTTCCGTTTTATAGGTACATTATAGGTACCTGCTACATGCTTCAAATGTAAATAAATGACATATTTTTGTCAGACTGTGTATTAAGTGTGTCCCTGATCCTGACAGGTGTGCAGTGTGCTGGAGAGTTTGGAGCAGGAATACCGGAGAGATGAAGACTGGTGTGGTGGCCATGACAAACTGGGAGCCAGTGCTGAGACAGACCATGTCATTCCTCTGATAAGCAAGCACTTGGAACAAAAAGAAGCTTTCTTAAAGGTGCTTCATGGATTAATTGATGAAGGGAAATGGATGTATGGTAGATTTTATCCATAATGTGTTTAATCACACTCAAGAGGTTTTCTTTATATGTAAGAAACATAAGTGTCTGTCTTTGGTTGAAAGGAGAATCAAAAATGCTTTTGTTTTGCATTTTGCATTGAACATGGTTTCTGTGTTACTGTACAATTGGTATAGAATAAGATACTCCCTCTGATCAAAGTAAGAAAAAATGCATAATGCACTGGAAAACATTTTTTATAGACATTTAAGAGAGACAGTTTGATCTCTAATCACTGCAGGCAAGACGGTAATGCAGCATAGATGCAATGTGTTCTCATTACAGTATTTTATTTTAAGCACCCCTTCACAGCTATGTGGGCCATGGGAAAGTCCCTGATGGTTGCTGAATCCAGTGTTTGTGCTGCACAGTATAACCTTGCTGTTTGGCCACTAAACTACTGCCCCTCACCTCCATATTTATCATTGAAGCAGTAACATTGAGATACTGCAGTCTGTTGTGATCAAATACCCAAATTGTAAGACTGCAGCATACAAGCTTGTGGCTATCATTATTGTGTGCGAATTGTTTACAAATATGTTGTTACAACAGTATTTACTTTGGAAAAATTGATATCAGTGTGTCACGTTCTGATTCTGATGTGTTATTAAAATCTCATAGTGATTTTACTTGTTACATTTCAAAAGCTTTTTGAAAGTTGTGAAAAATACTACAGTAAGTTATTGTGACAAGTATATCTAAACAGTGTAAAAGGAATGTGGCCAATAGATATGTGTGCTGCCCAAGCTGGAAACCTAACTTGTGTTGTACTGGAATGTATTTAATTCACATAAAATGATTGTTCATGTGTTTATCTAAAGCCAGGAAGGATTAGGCACTCTTTAGGCCTGGTGTATCCATTAAATTTGTAATGTATTCTCCTGGCCCGGTGTGTATTAATAGATTGTAAAATTTTCTCTGGCAGGCATGTACATTAGCAAGAAGGAATGCAGAGGTATTTCTGAAGTATATCCACAGAAATAATGTCAGCATGCCTGGAGCAGCAAGTCATACCCGTGGGCCTGAGCAGCAAGTGAAAGGTAAGTATATGAATATGACAATAAAAATGTTATTGAATGTCAAGAACTCAGTTGCTGCACAGTCCTTTGATTATCTCTTGTGTTTACCAAGCATTGTTCATTACCTGCAACAGTTGAAACCTAGACTTATGTGAAATGATGATGCTCCATTTTTCATTTCTGTGTTTAGTGGTGTGACTCTACAGTTCACATTGTAGAGCGGAGTAGTGGTTCTGTGGCTAAGGATCTGTGCCTGTGGCTGGAATGTTACCGGTTCAAATCCCACAGCCGGCAGAGCAATCCTACTCCATTGGGCCCCTGAGCAAGGCCCTTTAATCCCCAACTGCTCCAGGGGTGCTGTACAACAGCTGACCCTGCGCTCTGACCCCAAGCTTCTCTCCGAGTCTGTGTCTCATGGAGAGCAAGCTGGGGTATGCAAAAAGATGAATTCCTAATGCAAGAAATTGTATAGGGCTAATAAAGTGATGTTGTTATGCTGTTGTTATTACATGCTATTTAAAGAGTCCAGGGAACCACAGCCATACAGTGGTCAGACCCCTGCTGAGTATATGTGAGCTATACTTTCCTGATCCCAGCAGGAGCCCATGTCTTCTATAGTCACAATCATAAAGATGCTTTGCCAGGAATAAACTCCAGTTCTGTAGACCAGGGTTACTGACTTTATCCTCCCAAAGTACTGTATAGGAGTGTTGATGTCAACAAACAGGCAAAGGACTCAACCACAAATCATTGACTCCAAGCACATCTTCTTTGTGCTCATCCCAAAGTGTCTGTTTATCTGCATCTGGTCTCTGGCTCCATGTCTTTATTCTTTATGGTTGTCAGAGCTTCTTATTTAATCAAATCCTTTTTTTCTGCGAATGCATTTCATGCCTTTTTGGTCATTTTCAGCCTTGTGTATTTTTTGGGGTAAATGAAAGTATAGTCTTAATTTTCATTCTGGCTTTCCAGCTATTCTGAATGAGCTGCTACAGAGAGAAAACAGGGTATTGCACTTCTGGACGATGAAGAAACGAAGACTAGACCAGTGCCAGCAGTATGTCGTTTTTGAACGGAGTGCCAAACAGGTATTGCCGCTGGTGTCAAGCTAATTAGGGATTGCATCCTTATGAAAATTTAATATGGAATGTGATCACCGTAGATTCCTACATGTACCGAGGGAGTTTTTTTATGATGAAATGCAAAATTTCCATATATAAAAGGCTCCAACTTCTATCCCTGTATTATGTATTATTGAGCAGTAAAATAATTAGGCCCCCTGAGCACATAGTCATGAAGGGAACCTGTATCGATGTGAGACTCTGGACATTTTGTTTTGACTTTTGCAACAGGCCTTAGACTGGATTCAGGAAACCGGCGAATATTACCTCTCCACTCATACTTCCCCTGGGGAAACTTGTGAAAAAACTCAGGAACTCTTAAAAGAGTATGGAGAATTTAGAATATCTGCCAAGGTAAGAAATCTAAAATAGTATTATTTGGGTTCTTCCACACTGTTGGATTTACTGTCTTCAAAATGCCTATAAGTTTTCAAGTACATTTTAATTTTAAATTATTCACTGACATTATTGGGATTTAAATATGCACATACAATTGATTTCTATTTAGATCAATGTAGTATTGTTCAAAAACAGAAAAAAAACTGTTCCTAGAATGAAAAAGAGAGAAGGTAGATCTGAAATAACAGTGGTAAACCCTAATAAAATACCTACTTTTTCTGAATTCCCTTATTCTTGAAACATGAAACGTACAGTAGTTCCTGTGTGACTTGGGAAGAGTTTGAGAAGTAGAAATGTTTGCCATGCAGGTTATTTCTGAAATTATATATACATCACCTTAGTGGTATTCCTTCAGCATCAACTGATGTTAGTGGTGATTCAGTGCATATTGGTGTCAGCACATGCTTATGATATTAGGACAGAGGTTCAAGGTACTGTTTAAGTACCCTACTGTACTTTGTGTTTTCCCTGAAATCATATGGGTTGTATTAGAAATAGATTAAAAGAGATACTGAACCTTATCCTAGAGGTGTATTATTTAATACTGCGGTATAATGAAAGTATGAAGTCCTCTTTGATGGTGCAGGTAAAACACACATTTTTTGCTGGAAACAGTTTTTACATGCCTGTCATTGTTTGAGCAGCTTCACTTTTATTATTTAGTAGATCACTCATTTTCAAGTAACATATATCATAGGTCTGCCTTGATTTTTCCTTTCAAATTTCAAGGTTTGCGATAGAGAGGTTTAATGTGAGTACTGTATGTTTGGTGCTTTAGCAAATCCAGGAGAAGGTGAAGCTGCTCATTCAGCTGGCCGACAGCTTTGTAGAGAAAGGTCACGTTCATGTTAACGAACTGAAGAAGTGGGTTACCACTGTTGACAAGCGCTACCGTGACTTTTCACTACGAATGGGGAAATATCGGTCCTCCCTGGAAAAAGCGCTTGGCATCAGTTCAGAGGTAAGTGTATTCTGTCTTCAGCCACTCTTTCAGTTCAGAATCTTTTTTTTCCCCTTACCTTCAATTTGGCTGGAATCAACTGGATTGAGGTCTGAATCCAGAATGTGCCAGTACTCATGCAATATAGATGCCTTCTGCATATGAGAGCTGTTCTGTTTTAGTTCCTCTTACATAACAGCTTGAAAACAGGTACCTCTTACTGCTGAACAGCCAACAGGATATACAGTAAAAATAACTGTCCGAGAATATGGAGCCATATCAATATAATTTGTCTAAGATGTTTTGCAATTGAAATTTGACTCCTAATTTACTGTGGAATATTTCTCAGTGTGATCAGGATAAAATCTGTATATTCTGTGGTGCATGAACCTCACTTTTCTTACTTGACAACTGCAAATATACATTACCAGAAGAAAATAAGGCAAGTTTCACAACACGTAAACCGTAAAGCAAGAACCATTATTATTAGGTGATGTGGGAGCATGTCTTGATTTTCTTGTTAAGCATTATCTTTAAAGCACTCAAAAGGCATGCATTTCTTACTTAAACATCTAAATCACAAGTGGGCAAGAGCTGCACTAATAATAAAGCTAACGAGCCATGTGCTTTATCAAAGCCTTGGGCAAAACTGTATGCTAACCCTATTAAAAGATAACATGGCAGGCTAATGTAAAAGTCGAATAACTTACACTGAATCAAGGAGATGTCAATTTAAAAGCAATGTAAATTACTGCAGCCTCATAGGAAACCACAGGAAGTGGAGTAAATCAGTGATGTAAGCATGGAGAAACTGGAAAAACAGCTAAATCAGCATGGGAAGCTTTCATTTGGAAAGACAAGCGTTCTTCATTCTAAAGGTGTAACCTGTCATGAAAATGGTTCTCAAAATTAATAGGAGTGCTGTTGTGTGTTTTATTAATACGAGGCTCAGTTAGTCTGAGCACACTGCAGACTACATCAGGGTCTAGGGTTGAGTCCCTGTTCAGGCCCCAGAGGGGAACTGGGAACTCTATCTCATTAGCTACTCAGGTGTAGAGTGGGACTAATACTTATTTTCTCAGTTACTAGTAATGTTTATGGCACTAGACATTGACTGATATGTCAGTGTTTTATAAGGATTCCTGGTTCTAATTTAGTTATTGAATTTTGGTGCTGAACAATCAGACAGCATTCATTTTCAGCCTGGGGATCATTAATCTGCAAGACTGCTTTTGGACAGAATTTCTTATTTACAGGATTGGAAGGGATGAGACCACTGACAGAACTGACAGAACAGGAACTGATAATTGCTCGCCCCATTTGAACTGAGCTTTTCTGTGGTGTTCTGATTCATTCCTGCCTCCCTCTTACAATTGGGGACAGTTGTAGAGGTCATTCCAAACAACAACTTGTTAAACAAACATGGATTCTTGATTCAATATGTAGGAACCTTTCTGTTCAAATTTGAGGTTATTATTTATACAGCTAATTTACAACACCAAAGGAGAGAAAAACATCAAGAACATTAAAATATAATCTATTTCAAAGATGAGGTATAGATAAGATTTATCCTAGATATGGAACTCAATTTATACAGTATGCGTAACGCAAGCAGATGAATTAGGATGAAGATATTTTGATCCTCTTAATTTCCCAACTAAAATAACAAAGATAAAAAGATACTTTGACTTTCCCCTTGAAAAACTCCTTTACAATGTGGCCTACATTGACTTTGGTTGAGATTGGTAAGGACAGGAATAGACGCAACCTTCCCTGTAGCAAATGTGTCAATATACACAGTCAGCAGGGAGAGTTTGGCTTTTTTTTCCTTCTATTCAAAGGCTAACAGTGACCTCATTAAAGAGCAGAACGACTCCCTGTCATGGTTCAAGACACTAAATTGTTGCCCTGCTTTGGGCTAAGCAGAGACTGAAGCCCACATAAGAGAGCTGAGTCAAACAAAAGAAAAAGTAATAAAAATTTGAGGGGAGGTCAGTACTGAATTGTGCAATGAAAACTGTATCTTTTCTCTTAAAATTTATTTCACCCATATTTAATATGGGGATTCTTCTATTGCTTCAAAGAGAAGAAAAAAAATCTTATTTGATTTTATTTCCCTCAGTTATTATCTATGACCCTGGTGTCTTGGGGATATTATTCTGGGGGAACTGAAGAGGCTCTATCTGTTTTATTGTTAGGATAATAAAGACTTAGAGCTGGATATCATCCCAGCCAGTCTCACTGACCCTGAGGTTAAACTTCGGGATGCAAACCATGAGGTCAATGAGGAGAAGAGAAAATCAGCCAGAAAGAAAGAGTAAGTAGGGTAATTTCTTACACAAAAACCTAAAGATACAGTATGGGTGTACAGAATGAATATATTTTGCCATGTGTTTCCCATTGCCAGTCCTAGTGGACCACTGATCAGCCCAGATTTTTATTACAACTGAATGTTTATAGAAAAATCAGAATGCTTTCTATTGTACACTGGGAAGTCATGTCCTCATTTACTTTACAGCTAGGACATCTTGAAGGGTTTTGAATGTAGCATAAACCAGCAGAAATCTTTCTATAAATGATTAGGTTACATAGTAACAGTTAGTTGTTTACCAGTTGTTTACCAGGACTGCAGCATTGATCTAGTATTATCTGGTGCTGTCACATCAGAGACGCAAGAACAAAAGACTCTCAGACTAAGTATGGCCAGAATCTGTTTTGTGCCTTCATTTAAACAGAACTTAGCATTATGTCAGTATTGTTTTGCTTTTACAAGTAATACTTGTTTTTCACTTTGTTGTATTTAGCTTGAACATGTAGCCTGATTTATTATGTACTGTATTAAATATACCTTTCTTCCACAAATACTTTCTGAGTATATTCTGTTTATGGCTTTCTGTGTGGTCTACTGTGATCATGATTTTTAGGAGTAGAACGTCAAGAGTTGAACTTCAGCTATTGTACAAGTGTAGTTTTCCAATGAAGAATGTCTGAAGTGAACCCCTTTTCGGAGAATACATAAATTAAAACCTTTCTTTTTTCTCCCCAAATAGATTTATAATGGCTGAACTCCTACAGACCGAAAAAGCATATGTCAGGGATTTGCATGAATGTTTAGAGGTAAGTAAATTCTTAAATCTTGAATTCTTGTTTGGAAATGTAAGTGCTAGCACCGACGATAACATAAAAAACTTGTTGAAGTAAATTAAGTGAATGATGTAAATGATTCATAAATAAAGAGGTATATAATAAAATGTACATTGAGCTCTGAGGATGTTTTAAATTACATACCTTTTTTTCTTTGCCTAGACCTACCTTTGGGAAATGACAAGTGGGGTGGAAGAAATCCCTCCAGGAATAATTAATAAGGAACATGTCATCTTCGGCAATATTCAGGAGATATATGATTTCCATAACAAGTATGTGAAATCTATACTGCAAAAGTTACTTATATTTAGTAATAGAAAATTCCTTGCATTTACAGGTATATAGTTCTTCTCAGCCATAGGATTTACACATAGACTCAATACCTTATAGATCAGGTGGAGAACAGAGAAATTACTTCATTCATTGAAGTTAAGACAGCCCTGATTGTGTGAAGCCAAAATGGAAATAAGTCAGGACACTAGGTTGACACTATGAACAGTGCTAAGAGATACTTAATTACTAAGCAGTCAGGACCTTGGTTTTACTGTACGTCTCATCCAAAAAATGACATTTCCTGTAGCACAATATCTCTAGTCTCCACACTGTTCATTGATTTGGAAATTCTAGAAGAGTTTCTCCTACATCACTTATAGCAGACACCTGATTTTCCTTTGAGCTCTCCTGCCCCAGCACTAAATACGGCCCAGTGTTGCTTAATTTCTGAGATCTGCCAGATTAGGTTACAGGGTGGCTTTGCTGCTTGAGCATCTTTCTTGGTACATTAATTAGTTTGGTTCAGACTATTTTTTTTTCCTCTAAAAAGATCAAATTCACGTTTTCAAACAAAGCTTTAGAATTTGCAAGAAATATGGGGTGAATTATTTTGTTTGTCTCAAACAAATGTCACCTTGATATGTATTAATTTATTTGCTTAGATAAATTAAAATTAGGTCCACAGTGATCCTCAAGATCCACATTGATCTAAATAAAGGGAAGATGGCTCTGTGTGCAAGAAAGATGCTACCTGTGCTTGCTATTTTAGGTAATTATTTTTTCTGCACAAAGTAAGTCCCGACATTCAACATACAACAAGGTTTGTATATTTGTATCCATATTATTTAGGTGATTGTAAGACTGTTTATTGATCTATTTTATTACAGCATTTTTCTTAAAGAACTGGAGAAATATGAGCAGTTACCTGAAGATGTAGGCCATTGCTTTGTCACATGGGTAAATATATATTTTCTGTATTGTCTGCAACATTTGAAAGTTACTTCATATTCAAAAGCTAGTGGCAATATTTAATGCATTGGAAAAATCAGAATGCTGAGTGGTTTGTGACTGCAGTCTCTTAACTTATTCCACAATGCATCTTTATCCTGTCAAACGTCTTTCCTCATAAGGCTCCCTGCTTAATCCGATGCATGTCTGCAGCACTTTATATAATTGCTAACAGCCAAGTGCTGCCCTCTAAATAAGGCTCTTGCAAGAGGTGTGGACAGCAGTTGCAGCATACAGAATTCTTCTGGAGGCTATGTGAAGCTTCAAAGGAGTTTATTCATAAGGGAAGGGAAAACAGAATGGATGAAATAAAGATAACATAAAAAACTGGCTAAAATAATTCAATGGAATATCTCTTAAATGTGGAATTTTCTTTGTAATAATAATAATTGCTGTACTTCTGTTTTTCTTTAATTATCCGGTCAACAAATCAAACATGTTTTTTTCTTCCAGGCTGACAAATTCCATATGTATGTCACATACTGCAAAAATAAGCCAGATTCTAGTCAGCTCATTTTGGAACATGCTTGCAGCTTTTTTGATGTGAGTAATTTTCCATTTCAATTTGCTGTATTTTAACTTTTAAAAAAGAAAGAAAGCAAAAAAAAAAAATAGATCAGAGAAAGGACAGTACCGGAAGTAGAGGTTCCCCGTTTGAGTAGATTATTCTCCTATATTGTTTGGAGGGAAATATTATTTATAGGTGTATATAATGTTTTAAAAACAGATTGAAATAAATAAAAATGAAATGCATCAGAACAGAGAGAAATGTCAGTTCTTTCAAATATCCTGCAGATGGCACATTAGAGCCGTCGTTGTCCAATTCAATGGCACCAGTAAATGACCAGAAACAGCGTAAGTATAAATGGTGGCAACATTTTGGTGACTGTACTCAAATAAAATTGCATCAGATAGAAAAACTGTGATTCTTCCATAATAGTTTTAATAGTGGTGTGATTAGGTTCTTCTGTCTATCCTACAACTATTTGTAGTTGTTTGTTTCTTTAACTAATGAACACTTATGCTGTTTCAATCACAATGGAATCTGGAATGCATAAAGAATTAATAAAATATGTGAATAAATAACTTTTTCTTTTCCATTTTTAACAGGAAATCCAGCAAAGACATGGCCTGGCAAATTCCATTTCATCTTACCTAATCAAACCAGTACAAAGAATCACAAAATACCAGCTTCTTTTGAAGGTACAGTAAAATACTGTAGCTTAGAATATTCTCCATTCGTAAAGAACACTAATTAGTCCAACTCCCTCTGGAATCTCTAAAACATCAAAGTACACGACTCTCTCTCATTCTCTGTTTCCTGTGTATTGGTATGTTTATAAAGATGGTTTAATTTTAGAATGTCAACTTGCAACACTCGCTAATAAGTCCCCATTAGCACTTCATTTTGCTCAAAGGACAGGCCCTGTTGTAGGCATGCTGCACAATTAGTGTTTTGATCTCGTGCTTTTTTTCTTAATTGAAATGTGAACATCACAGCGCTTTAAAATGCAAATCTCTAGATTCCTACAGTTTGTTTTTAAAATGGAATTCAAATTTCAATGAAAGGGTTTAGATTTATTGTTCCCTGTATGTTTAAATAAAAAAATGAACATAATGTAATGTGGAACAACGCAGAAAAAATTCAACAAATCATGTTTTATGATAATGATAGTAGCATAGAAATCATAAGGGGAGAATGTACTCTTGCCTGATTTTTGTGTCCATGGAAGTGTGAACTTTTTGCATTTTGATGCTTTTTTGAGACACCAGGGAAATACTGTACACATTTTCATGGAGTGATATTTTTTTAAATTAAGAAAATTAATTCAGATGCCTTCTTGAGAACTGCCTACAATTAGTTGAAGCGGCGTGGAAGTGGTAAATGCTTAATAAAAATTGAAAACCAGTTTACTCCTCCACTAATCAAGAAAGCTGCTTTATTGGAACAGGAACTTCTGACTTGTTGTGAAGAGGGGAAAGGCGAAATTAAAGATGGCCTGGAAGTCATGCTGAGCGTCCCTAAGAGAGCCAATGATGCCATGCACGTCAGCATGTTAGAAGGTATGTCCCAAGGATGCATTGTGAAGAAATAAAGTAAAAAAGAAACACAGGCACTGTGGCACGGGTGGACCAGGCTTTTGAAAGGATCTGTTTAATCTCCCAGGCTTTGATGAAAATCTTGACGTCCAGGGTGAGCTCATCCTCCAGGACTCCTTCCAGGTGTGGGACCCCAAGTCTCTCATTCGGAAGGGAAGGGACCGCCACTTGTTCCTCTTTGAAATATCTCTGGTGTTCAGCAAAGAAATAAAAGACTCCTCAGGACGCACTAAATATGTCTTTAAGAATAAGTTGCTGGTAAGTATGATATTTTCTGTCCTTTTTTTTCAAAACAGCTACCATTTTTTGAAGATACCACCTTAAAAAAAGAATTAAAGGAAGGGAAATACTCTAATTCTGTGGGTTAAAAATTATTATTAAATTATTATCTCGAGCATCACAACGCTTTAAAATTCGTTGCACACCTTTACAAGACCAGTGGGATGTGTGACTTTTTTGAAGGCAACAGTTTGTTTAATTATTCCAGAATCAAACCTCTGTTGTTTTTCTAAAAAAAATCTGTTGACAACAAGCATTATTTACATTTTCATGCTTTTCTGAGACACCAGGGAAGTACTGGTAAATAAGTAATCAGCATCAAGTCAATATCTTAGATCACTTTCAGTACTGGATTTAATAACCAGAGTGTTGTGAACTTGGGAGAAAATGTGCAAACAGCATGGTGGCATGGCTGCTCTTGGGTTCTGGGTTTGATTCTGGAGTTGGGAATCCTGTCTGTGGAGTTTACATGTTCCCTGAGTATTCACATGGTTTTTTGCATGTTTCGTTTTTCATAGACATGTCGGTTAAGTTAATTAGTGTTTCTACTGTAAACTGCCCCTGTGTGTGCCGTGCAAAGGACTGGTGTCCTGTCTAGGGTGTTGATCTGGCTTGCACCTTGTGCTTCAGGGATAGTCTTGGGATTATCAGTACCCTCACAAGAGGTGGCTTATTAATGCTTGCCAGTTAAGACGGATTATGGCACCTTCTGGTGGGATTATGAAGGATAGACAGCAGTAAACATGATGAGTGATTACTATGCAAAGTCTCTGTTCCTTTATTGCTTTGAGCATTCTTGCTACAGATGCTCACAAACCCCAACTTTTACCCATCTCCAACAGTTGTGTAGCAAAATTATAAAACGATAGTACAGGCCTAGCTAATTTGTTCTATAGAATGAGATGTGACTCTAGGGAATTAGAGATAGATGAAACTGCTCAATGCAGGAGGCACAGCATAGTGTAAGCAATATACCACAAATGGTATACTAATTTAATAATAAATGTCTAGAGCTGTTCTTAGGTCAGAAATTATAATATTAACTAGAATCTAGCAAACACAGCGGCAACACAGGCAAACAGGTGGTGAATATTTAACGCCTGAACAGATGGAGGAGTTTCAGCCCCTAATCAGAACTCCCATTCATAATGTATTGGTGACGAAGGTATACATACTTTCATGTGTGAAGCCAGCTGTTGCATTGACAGTGCTTCAGTGATTAAAATGTTGGTGATTAAAAGATGCAAAATAAAATGTGAAATTAAACACAATAGTTTTGTGCTGCTTTGTGGTGATTTGCAAGACCGAGATGAAAGAACAGCCTAATATAAACACTGTAATGCCATCCAGACATGCAGCTGATTTCTTTTTAGCTGTCTGTTTATAATTGGATTGCAGATGAAGGAATCTGCCTTTAATTGTGTAGGTTCTGCGCAGATCAAGGGTTGCAAATTTTGCCCAGTTTTCCAGTAAGTCGATAAAAGTGTTTCTCTGAACTGTTAGACATCCGAGTTGGGAGTGACGGAGCACATTGAAGGGGACCCCTGTAAATTTGCTCTGTGGGCCGGAAGGACCCCTTCATCTGACAACAAGACAGTACTCAAGGTATGTTCCTGGGATGCACCACAAAGTACAGTATCAGTTTTGTAGTACGAACTACAAAAAGCTGATTTGCTTACCATAACATGAGCCTCATGTGTAAATTTTCTTTAGTTTTTAAGATTGTATTTGGTACAAAGGCCTTTCTCCTTCATCCCAATGAAAGTCACATTAGTGTCTGTAGGAAAACTGTGTACTGCATACTGCAGTGTAAATTCTTCTTAGCTCACATATATCACAGCTGTACATCTTCTCAGTCGGTCTTTAAGACCAGAATCCAGAACTGGAATGGGAAAGAAAACTAAAACCTCTCTTATTTTACCAAATGGGTTATATCTAGAATGAAAATGTTTCATTGCAAGATGCCAGAATTCACACATCTGCCATGCCTAATGTCTACAATAAATATTACATGGTGTTAGACTATTGCACTATTTTGTAATAATGTAGGATCTTTTGAGACTCATAGTTTCATGCTGTGTCTAAGTATCTACTGTATATCCATCTATAAGTTCATTGTATTTTTAAGTGGAAGACCAGGCAGTGCCATTGTCCCTGACAATTTTTCATTGAGCATTGTTAATCCAATAATTAGAGCATTTTAGTTATAGTGGACTGTTTTGCACTGTTGGTTATTTATCTAGTTGTTTGTGTGTGTGCTAAACTTCAGGCTTCAAGTATTGAAGTAAAACAGGAATGGATCAAAAACATCCGGGAAGTAATTCAGGAGAGAATCATCCACCTCAAGGGTGCTCTGAAGGAGCCCATTCACTTGCCTAAGACACCTGCCAAACAGCGTAACAACAGTAAAAGGTGAGCCTCTCATTCTGCATTTGTTTCATTATGCAAGCGAAAACATTACTATGTTGCTTCACTGTCAGAAATAACATAGCATAAAACTGGAAATAAAATAATGAAACATTGCCATACACCCAACATCCAGTTATGTCGAGGTCTGATTTGGTGCTGTTTTGGCTGCTTTATATGGACTGAAGAAGGACCTCTGTTCCTGCTCATCAGTTGACCCAATCAACCTGTTTTTGGCAAATTATGAATCTGAGAACCCGGAGATAACCCACATGTCTATGACAGGAACATGTACACTCCTCACAGAAGGCAGCCTTGGCTAGGGTTCTTACCAGACACTAGAGCTATGAGGCAGCCGTGCTTAATGCCACCTCATCATTCCTTCTGGCATATTTACAATGTATCTTGAATTTTATATACCAGATTTCCTGTATATTACAATCATATGAAAGAGTATCTGCATTTTGCTTAGTGTTTAAAAACAGTGCAGATGCTGGAAAATCAATCATAAATAAAAGTCCAGATATGCTACATATTATATTTTAAAGAAAAGCAGCACTCCACCATAATGATTGCTGTATGTCAAAGATGCAGAGCATGTGCAAAAAAGCTGGTTGCTCACTGAAAGGTAATTGAAAGCAGCAGACAGTTTGGCAGACTGAACCTGATGTACAGTGTGCTTAAGTGTTTATTTAACCCATTTTGACATTCCTATCATTATTCACCATTGAGGTAAATTGTTGTGCTCAGTGTTATAAATAACTGAGTGAAAATAAACACAAAACCAAGAAGCAATATGCAAATCAGTCCCAGTAGCAGAGGCTACCAATGATACTGAGAAAACTGACATTTTAAGTGCCCATCTGTCCAAAATCCGTATTATAAGAAAATCAGGAAATGCAAATTTATAAGAGCACTGTTTAAAGATACAGTATATAAGAATTCTTTCCCTTATTGAGAACATAAGCAAGATTACAAATGAAGGGAGTCCATTCAATCTAACTAGCTGGTTTGGTTCTCTCTAACCATGTTGTAAAGTTTTGGCTGCCCTCCTGATGAGCCGTCCTTACAGCATAAAAAACATGTTTAATTGAATGTTACTACAAACCGCTTTGCCACTTTATGATTAGTACGTATTTTAAAATCATGTTTTGAATGATCTGCACGTGGGTGGTATTTTTTTGTCCTCCTTTCTAACCCAGTGTTTTATCTTTGCAGGGACACTGGAGAGGATGCTGACAGCCAGGGAGATGGGAGTAGTCAGCCTGACACCATTTCTATAGCATCAAGAACATCCCAGAACACTGTGGACAGTGACAAGGTAGGGCATGGGTTTAATTAAACCCTTATCTGCGTGTCAGACAGGGACTTGAAAATCTTATCTTAGTCAGTCACCTGTAGCATCTTCTGGATGACATTTGCTATGTTCTATTTTAGCCTTTTCTGATTGAGTTGTTACTTAAGTAATGCTGTTTGTTGCTGGAGGTTTTGAAGCTACAACTTGCTGTCCTTCACATTTTACTTTAAAAAAAAAATCTTCAAAAACGTAGTCAAAAGGCAAAATTGAATAAGCTTTTAAGATATGTTTGTTGACTTACCTTATTTGATTTTTCATTACTGTTATGCTGGACGGTAAAGGATGATCATGCTTATTTTGTTTGAATGTGATGCTGTAAAATCAATGGTACAGTATTGACAGTATAACAAAAATCTGAGTTTTACCTTATTCTTATTCAATAACTTTAATCTATTCATTAAAATTCCAGCCTGACCTAATTCACATGACTTTTTTCCTTCTGTAGTCTGTGGTGCTATTTATACCTAGGTTTTGAGAGCCCCGCCTCTATTTTGTCACATGACCCCTGAGTGACAAGTAAAATTCACTAGGGGTTTCCTATGCCTACCCTTTGTTTAAAGCAGGGACTAACTTTGATGCAGGTAAGGTGAGCATGTGGGTTTTATCAGGTCGGCTTCATATTGTCATAGTTATAATTTATACTTAAAGAAAAGGAGGCTCTTCTACTGAAATTTTGAAATAGATTAATCAAGGGTCTTTTTTAATCAGTAAACTTCATTTAACAGAAGTAAACAGCTCTGATTGACACACTAGGCGTTGATGAACTCTACATTTTGTAAATCTAGTGTTTAGTGTTTAGAGAAAACTCCCTGGATTTCTTGTTTTTCTGTCTGCTTCTGTCCTCTACCCAATCTCTGCAATGATTTATTCTCCACAAGAGACTCCTAGTTAGACAGGCGGCCTGGTCCAGCTGCATCTTGTGGTTGCCAAGTGTACTTTTGGCCTGGCATCTAGTCAGACAACTACAGCACGGCTTGAAGTCCACATTTATTCTCTGTCCTGAATGTAGGTTCCAGTCGTACAGATGGCTGTAGCATGGTGACGTGGATTTGCCTTTCAGGCATGTCAGTGCAGACACTCAGATACTGTTCTGTCCTGGAGATTGTTTTTCTGTTTATGACAGCAAATTAAAACACATGCTTAGAGGACGTGACAGGACTGAGTTAAACATACTGTATGATAAATGTGCTTGTTTTGGGAGAGCAAGAAAGTTCACAGAAGTGTAACACTTGCAAGGAAGACTTGGCAGAACTTTCATTGTTTGCTTATTTTTTCTGTTTTACTCAAGAACAGATAAAACAAGTTCATATAACTTTGGACTCCCAGCTGTTCTTCATCTCAGGAGTTTATAGCTTACTAGAACATTAGCGTATCAAACTTTTTATACAGCCAAGAGTATTGTTGTTTCAAACTAAAGAGGGCAGAATAGTTATAGTTATATTTTGATTTTCCCCATGTCAAAGATTTTAGTCAGCAATTCCCAATGGGTCTCAATTATGCCATCTTAAAGGACTGTTTATAGTTAAACAGACAAAGTTAGTCTTAACAAAATTAGTCTTAATCAGTTAAATCAGTTTTTTATAATTTTTTTTGAGTTTTTACTCTTACTGAACCCAGTACTGGACAGATGCTTATCCATTAAATGGAGGCCATTGTTGTCAGAAATCCCATTACACATATGTTTTCTCTAGAGTATTTTCTCTAAATTTGACAGCATTCTATTAGTTCTTTTAAAAGCATTATTCAAATGGAAGTTGACATTTTAAAGCTTTTGGTTACTTTGAATATGTTTCCATATCAATATTCTAATAACTTGTGCATGTGGTTTAGTCTGTAGCTTGCCCAACACCTCTTTAATCTATTGTTAATTCAGAGCAAAAAGAAAGCTCAGAGGCAAGTGATAAAAAGTGATAAACAAGATAAAAAAGCAAAATGTGCAAATGTTTAATCTGTGACTTAGCAGCTTCACCTTGATTTTTTAATATACGGTAGCTGTTTATTGTATTCAATCAAATAAATCCAAATGAAACTATATTGCTGTGTATTGTCATTAGTCATTACCATTATTTTTGTATCTCAGCAGACAAGGCAAATTGTATAAAGCACACTAGTAATTAAGCTGAAATACCAGATTTTAAAAAACACTTTGGACTCCAGTCATTCAAATTAAGGGTCAATAGTACAGTATTTCTTTATGCTTCTGTATTGTGAAACAGGTGAAATTGATAGTAGGTAATGTGTAATGTGCTACAGTATGTTTACCACTGTTACACAGCTGAGCTCTAAAGCACCATTCTACAACATTGTGCAAGGACTAGCGGTACATAACCTATTGAAAGAAAAGGAAATACTGCTGCCTCTTCCTGACTGTGCAAAGATTAAATACAACCGTGGTGACTGGCAAAACCTACTAGCTTTGCTAATGCCCGGGTTCTAAGGAACTTCTATCATAACCAGAAATAAAGATCTAAATAAATATTAAATATAAATAGTAGCCTGCCCAATGCAAGCAGGTCCAAAATTGTTTGTCAGTGATCGAGCAATCACTGAGTGAGTGTGGGTGTTACTTCTACTTCCTCACTATAGCTGAGCGAAACATTTCACAAGCACAAGTGGTTACTGCTGTGGATCCAGAAAGTGAATCATCATTTGTTCCAGAAAGCCTTCCCAATTGTCTGCATTAATATCCTATTTACCCACCAGACACTGAGTTGGCTGTTCCACACCAGCATAGGCTGACTCAGTCAGCCACTCCTCCCTTTTTTTTTGGAGATGGGGACATTCTTTTTTTCCTCTTCCAGTTAGCCACTACTTATTACCCACCCAGACGCACACAACTTTGCTTTCCAACTTCCCCCCTCCTTTGTCTCCGCAATTTAGTGGAAACTTCAAATGTTTTCTTACTCTTATTTTTATTCTTCTTTTATTTCAGAACATATTTGAATGTTCTTGCCACAATTGCAGTTGCTTCAAATCTTGGCCCCACAGTTGAAAATGTACTACAGATAACTAACTCCAAGGAGAAAGGAGTTAAAGAAATCTCGATTTACATGACACCACCTATTGAGCGGAAGATTAGATTTCCACTGTAGTCTGATCTCACCTCCCACCCGTGAAGTCGCTGGCTTATAATAAACATTACGTGTGTTACTGTACATGCGTGTATTCTACATTTTCGAAGTCTGCTCAGAAAGCTTAGAGTTAGAAACACTGAAAACATTAAATTATGACCATTTGACAAAATAAGCCTTAGTTTAATTTATTCAAATGACATAGTTTATTGCACCAAACAACCTGTACAGTATCAAAAGTAGAAGTATGCAACGTGCTTAACATACAGGCATATAGAAGACTCAGAGTGTGTGGATTATATGTGCCCGTTTATATACTGTATAATAAAATGCCAACACATAGACCCAGATAGGTGTAATCCTGCTCTGAAGAGAAATTGTAGAGTTCAACCTACTGGTATTTTTAACAGGTGTTAGTCATTCTTTGGGGGAGGGTTCAAAAACAAAATGTTTCTGGCTAAAAGAAGTTGCAGTTACAGTTCCTGTATTTGTAGATGTGCAGTATAGTACGCTAAAATAAAAACAGTATATTGACAGACTGATAAATAACCAGAATGCAAATATTGGGAACAAAATATGAAAGTTCTTAAGGCAGTTTAGGAACAGAGGCTCATGGCTTCAGCGTAATGTAGATCATAAGGCTCTGCATTTCTAGGGTCTTATGAGCTTGAGTACTTATAAAGAGTTAGGTTTTTTCCCTGTAGACAAAGTTAACATTCACATATGCATGCTAGACCACCCAACTTATGGGATCCCATGCTAGTTTTGAGTTCAATAAACCAGGTTTTGTTCCATTTGCAAAATGATCTGATGATCTGGTTCATAAAAGGAATTAAATCAAATTTATTACAGCCCACTCTCGAGAGCTTGTCATTAAGCCCGTGTGCCTCCAGCCAAAGTTGTATTCTGCTCTTGTAACAAACCAATACTATAGGCAACACTGTTTCATCTGTAGGTCACAAGATCACCCTTGTGCTTGTAATCACGCCCCAGGCAGTGACTGTGTTAATGTTGGATATCTTTGACAACTCGCACAGTAGAGAAACTGTAGGCAGAAGTGCAGGTGCTGCAGGATATGTTTTTTTATCCCTCTACGATTGCTTGAGGAGAGCCACTAGATCAGGAGTTGATAGTGATTAGGTATTTAGAGTACAGCAGTGTTTTTTAGCTTCAAATATTGGAGGATAAAACAGTATCATGCCCAAGTGGATGAACTTTAAGCCGTCAAAGGAGATTAGCCCTGTAAGTAATATAATAAGATTATTTGTACAAGGTATCCAATCACACATAAACTAAGTAAAAGTTTGAATAATAACAATATGACTACATATAAAATGTAAAATGTAATGTTTTTAAGGCAATAGTGTTGAAATGATGTGACCTGTTCTGAAATGTATTTTTAGTTTGACTTGAGGCAGAAGGGAGATTGTTTTGGACAACATTTTTGTCAGTATAGCAGTGATATTTGATATTTGAGATTTTGGATTATTCATTTCAAAAGCACCACTTTGTGAAAGCAGAGGGCTTTTATTGGTCTTCTCTGTGTTGCAGTGAAGTGGTTAAGTTTTTCTACTCATACTAAAGGCAGGAAGCAGACTAATAAAGGCGGTGGAACTAGTCTGCCTAGCAATTACAGAGGCAACGATTCAAAAGGAAGAGTCTAATTTTAATGGCTGCCTTGGTGTTTTGCTCTACAACCACAAAATAGTCAAAATTTTGTTTTATAGTAATACAGTACGATCTTGACAGCTATCATTCTTCACTTTTATATTAAGTGGGGGGAAAAGTAAAGGCATAACAAGCATTTTTATTGTCTTGGGAAAAGAAATCCAACGAAGATCATAAAATGGAAAAATGGAAGCATTTCTGGTGATGTTGTACAGTTAAAGTTTT